ACCCCTACTAAAAATCCTAAACATCAAAATAAATAAAATATCCGACATAGGCCGTTGAACTGTTAGTGTAGACCGAATGGACTTTTTTTTTACTACGTCCAGTACTTCCTTCACTATAATATGTTTACTGACAACAACGCTGAAAAATTCATTTCCAAAATATGTAAGTTCGTAGAAACCGTCTAAAGGGATAACACCAAATTTACACTTTTAACCCTCACGCTGACAAATCAAGATTAAGTGTCTTTTAGAGAACTTTATGGGATTTTCCGAGAAACCATAGTGGATTCACAGGCGAACACACAAACCGAGTACGGCATTAGGTTAGTGTTTCCTTTGTTTTATGTGTCCAAAACTTTATTGCGTTATCCCGTAACGTTATTTTCGAGTTCGTGCCAGTCTTGTTTTTTCATCGAAATTAAAAAAAAAACAACAACATTATACCCTAACAAAGGGTTTCCGCTTCGTTTGTATATCATTATACTTTTAAGTCGTCGTACTGTTGCGAAATAGGCAAATTAATTCTGTCAAATTGTTGTTTAATAGCGGTAAAATCTTAAGGGGAGTCGCATTCAGTCGGTCCGAAGGCGTCTGTTGTATATATAAATCAGTTTTTCACACGGAAACTTCAATGATTTATGTGTACCGACCAAAGTGTTTGGCACGATGCGAAAGAGCGTCAAGCGATGAAGGGTCTTGCGGTCGACCGTGGGCATGGAAATGACAGCAACAATGGAGGCGGTATATAATAATAATATGTATTTTCTACCAAACAATAATACAATTGTATGGCCGAACGTTCAACGGAAATTTCTCGATAAAAATAGTTTACTTGAACTTTATCATAGCCGTCAATACAATGCACATTAGTAATTAATGTGTGCTCTCTTTTTTTTTTTACCAATTGTTTGGAGTTAGGATGTGCAAAATACATTATATCAAAATGTTAACTGCCACACGGCCTTGCCTACTGCGTTTATAATATGGAACCTTTACATTTAAAACTTGATTACATACAATTTAGAAGGGAAAATGTAAAATAATGTTTATTCGGGTAGTATTTTTTGGGCAATTTGCGAGGAACGATTATTTTAGTAATAATAGTACATGTTGAAATATTGTTAAATACAGTTATTATTTTTGTAGTTTTTTTTTCATTTTTGTTGGATAAACTTTTTTCACGGTATAAACTTTTTAACGACTTTTCAGTATTCCATATTAGCATATCTTCCTCTGAGATAGGATAAAATATGTTTGTAGGACACTAAGATGTCGTGTTTTATATTTTTTGCTAAACTAAACTTTAATGCACATTACTGCAAATAAAAATAATATATTTTAAAATTATCTCGCATAGAGTTTTATTTATCTCTTGTTTTTTTTTATTTTTAAGAAATTTGTTTTGTCGTTGTACTGTTTCGTATAAAAAAAAAATTGTTTAAGTAAGTTTACCTTTTAGGATAACCACTTCAGAGTTGAAACATAGTCAGACATAAGACGGTTTTGGACACAAATACTAAGGTTTTGCTAAGTAAGGCTTAGAGGTTAGTGTTTAAAAAAATAACATTCATATATATATTTATTGATACAACATAAACTGATTATCAATGGTGTATTCAACAACATACTTTAGAATTTGGCGTTTATGTACTTTCACTTGTCAAAGTCCAAGGATAAATGATGGTGTTGGAATTATTTCTGTGCTCCTGATAAATTTAATAAAAATACAATAATCTTTGGACTTATCTGGACCGAGAAAATCCCAAGGCGTACGATTGCCGGCATTTTGTATTTTATGCGGGTCCGATACGAATCCGACATCAATCTTAATGTATCAGTGTTGAGCGCAAAAGAAAAAACACCCTGCGGCGACAAAGCACAGTCTGCCTGCCGCCGAATAATCCTTTCCGGTATGAAAAAATAGTATATATATATAATTTATAAATACAAAGTCTCGGAAGGCAAAAACCAAAATGAGTCGCAAAAAGTCATTATAATAATTTTCGGATGTACCGTCTAACAACCGCAGCTCTAACACAACAATAATATAGTGCGCTAGTGTTTGTTGTGCACCGCTAATATTCGTCACGGGCAAAATAAGATTTATGTTCATCGTCTTAATGTAGAAAAGAAATATAAGAAGAATGGACTATGATAAAATATTATTATTATTTACGGTTCGAAAAACGTTGAATGGACCAACTCCGTGGGATAAAATAATGTTCGTTCATAACACGGCGCAATGGAATAGGCAATTTAGTAGCATAACCGCGTTGCCGGCTTATGGCGTGTGGCACACTATGTTGTATTATACTTACACTTTGGGCACTTGAACAATGTGCAATTTGCGCTTTATCAAATTAATTATTATTAACCCTGGCCATAGGCGGTACGAAAATATGGTGGGGATGACCATGATAAGATGGGCGTTTAGGTTTCTGCGGGTCCTCCTTGTGGTGTTTTGCCGCAAATTAAATAATAAGACAGTTATACTTGCTTGAATGTTGAGGTCACTGCACCTACCGGATATTCCCAACAACGCCGTGTATCCGAATTGTAATTGTTGTTATTGTCCTGCATCGCATTGTACTGTTAAATTATTCGTTTACAATATTATTATTGGACACTACACAACGACTGTAATCGAAATTGTCACGGGTTATAATATGGTTAATAGAGTGTTTACAATATTGTGTTGACAAATTGTCAAACGATTATCCAATCCAAACCAATCCGTTTATATAGCCACTATATAATAATATGTTAAAATATAATGCAAGGTGATCATTTTGTCGTGAACCACTCAATATCTCATAGGGTTTGAAAATAAATTTAATTTTAATTTTAATTTTATTTTAACCGCGGTCAAAGGTGTCGACGGTGATATAGCCGTTTGTCGATCGGCCGTCGTTTAAGGCTTAAACCGAAATTACTACATCCAACTACTTAGAAACTACCGGCTAGTTGATAAGGTTGTAAAGTACAGTTAAGTGTGGGTCATTTGTAATCCGCCGTGTGAAAATTGTACAGAGCTCGTTGTGGCGTTGCAGCAGAATTACTGGACTCAGAATTACAGGTGCACTGTATATATATATATATATACATATACAATCAATCCGTTATACCGTGAACAAGAATGAAAAATAGACCGTGCAAAGGTCATTAAGAGTAATGCCGTCGTCGATCACTTCAACCACGACCGAAAATCTATAGTCGACCCCCAAAGGCGGACAGGACCACGAAATCTATGAGATAGCGGGCCTTGTCACTATGAGGCTTTTTTTTTTTTTTTGCTAACAGATTTATCATTCAGGCTTGCCACCGGTTTATAAACATTTTTATTTCTAGTAACTAAGTGAAAAAGAGAGAATTGTTTTTTTTTTTTCGGAAACTTCTTAATTATACAAATAAATAATTATACCAGTATAGTTATATAGGTGTGTAAACCAAAATCACATTCACCCCGCAAGTATGGTAATGCAGTAAATTATTGTTTAAACGTCTAAACGACAACTTTATAGTAAGTTGTGCTTGTGGCTTGTACAATAATATTATTATACCAGATCAGTGATTAATTATTATTATTGTCGGTGACGTTCATTGGTAGATTAACAAAGGATACGGCCGTTAATTTCGGATTTCCCTTGAGTACCCGGTGGCAGGTCTCTCAGCACTTATTTTTATATTTTAAACCCTCCTATTAGTAAAACCGTAGGGGAATAGTACACACTCGTGATATCAGAATTCGCGTTTACCCACAACCACTTGTGACAAGAATGGGTAACTCTGAGTATAATATTTTTATCGCATATTAAAAATAGTATTATTATATATTCCTTTGTTCCCAAGAGAAACGTCAAATAACAAATGCGGTTAACTTGAAATTATTTTTAAGTTGGACAAAAAAACATAAGAATATGTAAATTCGGCGACGTTATTCAAATTCTAATCCATAGAACTGACATCATTAAAATAAATGTAAACACAATTGTTGTAAAACAAGAAACCTGAAAAATAAAAAAACAATAATGTAATGGAGCAAAGGAATGTTATTTCGTTTTAAATTCTAAATTATACAAATGCGTTTATTTAATTATAATAATTGTTTAATTTAAATGATTTTAAATTTAAAAAAATGTTTTAAAAAAATAATGTCTTACCCCAATTTATATTTAGCTAATACAATAATAATGTAATAACATTGACCACAATATTTGACCTTATAAAAACTATAACCAATGATTTATTAACTTAGTTTTTTGTATTATTGCTTTGTTATTTATTGTTAAAAATAATTTAAGACTCTATATTTCCAACTCATATTAAACATTTCTGTCAATTAAATCGCTTGTAAAACATATTATATTATATGGTATTATTCTAGTGGTAGTATCGATATAGGGGTATCAATTAAATATAGATAAGTAATTCAAAGGAAAAAAATATTTAGTGATTGAATTGCAATTAGTTATGTATCCTAACAAATATAATATATAATATATATTTGTGTATATTATATTTAAATTTAAATTAAATATGACTAAATCATAATTATTTTTAAATAATTGATATTTCTTTTGGACAGAAAACATTAAATGGATATATTTTTTTTGAATAGTCTATTTTAAAAAAAATATTTATACTTTTTAAAAAGTATATGAAATTTTATCAATCTATTTTAAAGGATAACAAAATAAGGGTTTATCTATTATATTATTAAATAGTCTAATGATCTTTGTTGAATTAGTATTATTTTTTACACAAAGACTATTTTAATACTTAATAATACTTAACTTATTCAATTTGGGATGAATTTAATTTGCGTGTACCTCAAACCAAGAGATATTACTGTATACACACATGTATGTATTATGAATACATAAAAATCCATTGTAGGAAATCCATGTTTTAAAATATATATAAATATATTATTTATATAACTAAACAATTATAAGCAAAACATTAACATTTTCTATTGGTTTTTTTTTTTTGTGTTACAGAAGAAGATATTGACGAGTTTAACATACACGTATCAAGGTATAGACCAGAAGAATTAACAAAACTTACTAAAATCACCAAATTCAACAAAAAAGAAATACAATTGATATATCGTGGTTTCAAGCAAGTGAGTGAAAATTGAAACATTTAAAAAAATCTAGAGTATACTTTTATAGCTCAATAATATTAATGAATAATATTTGTGATATATATATATATACATAAAGTACTAATTATTAATTTAAACATTTTTAAAAAAAATTGTTTGACTAATCAAAGCTTTTAATTAGTTTATTAATAAATATAATTTCTTTTTCGTTATTATGTGTACATTAGCCTGAATTAATAAAAGTACAATTAATTTTTAATTTTTATAAACAAACCGTTATAGTCCCGTATTTTTTCAATTATAAAATATACTTAACACAATAAAGCTAAAAATGTAATAAGAAAAAGTAAAGACAATAAGAAAGGAAAAAACTGAAAACAGAGTCATATCCAACAAAAAGATGCGTTATAGAATTTTATAATAATTTTTACGTTCTTTTCTATTTTTTTGTCTCTTTAATAATTTGATGTGCAGGTTTAAAACTGCTGTGAATACTTTAATACTAAAATAAAGCACTTATGATTTAAAATAAAAACATAACTTTCTAACTGAAAAAATTAAATTACAGTAAAAAATAAACAATACATTTTATTTCATATTTTTTAATCAAGTTTATGTAAAGTTGATTTTTTTTATTGTTAGTTCGAAAATAACTAATTAACAGTTATAGGAAACGCTACATAATGCATAAAATATACAGCTGAGTTGCTTTTTTTTTACAACATCTGTTATAAGTATTAATAAAATTCACTCACAAAAACCTAGGATTCATTGGGGAGAGAGACCATTCTATGAGAATGGAAATGGACATAGAACAGAGAGAATTTTCTGACGGAAAAACAGAAAAAAGAAAAGAAATCAACAGCATCAATGGAGTGTTTTCTTATTCTTGATATTATAAATACCAGTAAACAATGTTCAAAATGTAATTGATTGATATACTTGTTTCAGGAATGTCCTACGGGTATGGTGGACGAAGATTCATTCAAACACATTTTCTCACAATTTTTTCCTCAAGGCGGTAAGTTGACAAGTACTCTCAGTCTACAATCATATAACACATTATAATCTTTGACAGTCCATTAAATTAGCTACTGGTATAACTAAAATATTATTATTTTTAAATCAGTGGTCCCAGTAATTTACTTTTAGATATATTAAAATTGTTATAACCACATAACTAGTATTAAGTTAAATTACAAATAATACTGTTAATTGAAAAGTTTAGAAAATGCTTTGTGCCTATTTTCTTTCACCGAACAACATCCAATTGTCGTTTTAAGTATTTTCGCCAAACAATAAAATATCCAATTTCGTTACTGGCTCGGTTTACGATTATTTCTAAGCAAGGTAGTGTAGCCATACTGGCCTGATGATGAAAATAATATAGTGAACTCCAAGCTTATAAAAGCACTTTGACATTGTGGCTGAATGACCAACTGGAATGACCGCCCATACCAGTATAATATGGTTTATTATCAACTAATGGCCCCGATCCTATTGTTAGATGAATTTATTTACGGATACAGGGTAAGATTACATTACTTATTGTAAAATAAAATCCAAAACCACTAAAGTTGTTTGTTCTTGCTGTATCGGCTTTCGAAATTATCATTTAGCTTGATGCCTTAAATTTGGGTTGCAATGATATAAATATGCATCTTAATTCTGTTTATTACAAATTAATCCTAAAGATTGCATTTTTACGTTGATAGTTGTATAAGTGTGAACATTTAGCAGTTTGATGTGAGAAATTATTTGTTTGCTTTTGGCCGATTAAATTTGAACAATTAACAAATTTACAAATTATTAAATTTAATATAAAACAACTTGCCAAATGTCTCTCAGTCAACAGTTTATAAATACATAGTTTAATATAAAACAATTCCCAAGTATTTGTCTCATTTAATAATCACTATTGATAAATAATAATTATTATAGAATATTCTGGAATTTATCATTTTTATAGTCCGTTTTATCAAATAGTGTACATATTTAATAACGAGTTGCTATCGTTGTGTTATTAAAACTAACTTGAGCGTTTATTATTCAATGTATTGTTTTAAAACAGCAAATATCATTATAGTTAATTACAGTTGGTTACAGCTTATAAACAACATAACCTAACCCAAATAGAACTATGTTGACCAATTTTAATGTTACGTTTTAATTTTTTGTTACAGATGCCACTCAATATGCCCATTATGTGTTCAATACAATCAAAAGAAATCAGTCCGGAAAAATTAGCTTTGAGGTAAATATAAAAAGTTGGGATATATCATCAGGTTCAACATTAATAAAACTTTTGCACCCATAAAAAGCTATTATACAGTTAACAATTCAATTAAAACATTCATAAAAGATAACGCAATACTATACAGGAGACAACTATAATAACAGGTCTCCTGTTTATACCTACTGCGGCTTGTATAAACAGTTTTACTAACAATATTAAGCTGGCCCCCATGGTCACGAAATAAATTAAGGGCATTTGACATTAAAACTTAGCACTTTAGGTATTTTTCAATATAGCTAATGGCTATATTATATAAAAGCCGACCCTTGTTCAGTAAATAACATACTAATAGTATGGGTGTATACTTGATCTATATTGATCAATTACCTATATATATATTGTAAGAACGAAATCAAAAAGCAAAATAAACGAAAGCGATGAGAATTCTTTGATAATTTGTTGTCTTTTTGTGAGCAACTCGAATTAACAAGAACAAAAGAAAAAGACCAAGTCAAAGAAAACACAAAGTGTGCTACTTGTTGCATTCCACTGTCGGTCTTCTCCATACCGTTGGCCTAATCCTCAGTTCTACCCTCAGCGCCATTCCATTACCACCCCTTCAATCTTTATTTTCTATTACTTACACACACACAGCTGTTGTCCTGCTTGCCAGAAAATACTCGTGGGTATATGTCTGTATATTATTTTCTTACTATATTCGATCCCAGAAAAAATATATTACCGTTTCCCCCGTATACTTGTTCAATAACGATTTCACGTTTCCCATAAATAAAACACACTATAACGTTCGATTTGGCATCTTCGCCGACACAACAATATAATAGTCTATTCGTTTTCAGATATTTTTTTTCCACGACCAAAAAAAAAAAAAAACACTTCCCCAATCGTATTCACGCGCTAAATGTTCAAAATAATCGGAACTAGTGGCTTGAATAATATATTATAATGACCAAGTCCATTCTATTCGAACACAATTAAACACAATTAATTAATATTAACAATAGCGAATAAAGGGGTTTTTTTTTTTTAATTTCGCCAACCTCAACTATTGTCTCCTATTTATAACGTTAACAAGCTAAATTTAAAAACTACAATTGAAATCAATTTAAGTATTTCTGCAAATCACAGGTCGAAAACTGAATTTTAACAGCCAGATAATTCATTAAACAAGTAGAATTTTTTTATGAAGTAATTTCGGTCCAGGAATGGAAAATAACTAAACATGCCCTAGGTTCTAGAAGTGAATTCAATTTTGAAAACCGCAATTTTTACGACCCTTCTGAGAGACTATAAGCGGATAACAGATACTCGTTTTATAAGCTCTAATGTATGGATGAATAATGTATTACAAGATTATAATAAATATTGTATGTAACAAACATAAATGCTTTTTAACCTTATCCGCGAATTGGCATTGAAGCGTTTTCCTTGAAAATTAATTTATTACAACTTTTCAAGCCACGACTGAACCGTTTTCTTTGTTGGCTGTTAATATTCAAACGAGTTTATTCTTATATATAGATATTCGAATCGTATTAGGAGTTTAACAACTTCCACAGAGACACTTTTCAGGGATAAACTTCGATATAACCCGAACACATTAAATTCCTATTAAAACGGGTCTTAAACTTATTCTAAGTCCTAGTTTTCCATACTGCATATTAAAGCATTAACCGGAAACCATAAAATACATTATACGACTCGACTGCAGATCTACACATAAAAATGTTTAGGTATAAATATATATTTAGTATGTGCACACGATAAGTATGGTACACATTATATTATTATAATCAATAAGTAACCCTCGAGTACACGCGTAAGATGACTACTAAAAGTTTTAATGGGATTCGCATGTTTCCATACTATTTCGATGCGATCAAAAAAGCACGTCTTGTTGCCCGTTGTGTCTTACCATCGATTATAAAATTAGCGACGGTTTTTAAGCAAAATATAATTTTATGTTATGAGTTTCACATCAATTTTTTTTCAAAATGGCGATTTTCGTGTCATAAAATTAGTTTCGAAGTACTTCTTTTTTTTTAACATGTTTTGCTTAGATTAAAAATAAAATTGTAGTGTCTTCTGGTTTTTCCCTGTTGTACTCTTCATGTGACATAATATTTTACTTGAGTTTGAATTTTTCACATCACTCAATCCATTTTATTAGACTTTGGATTAGTATATAAAATCTAGATTCTAGACCAACGTTTAAAGATATATTAAATTGTTTTACTACAAAGTTACAACCATATAAAATACAAAAGTTTGTTGGCCACTCGAATAAGATGTTTGGTTGGAAACTAATTCAATTTGAAAAATAAAGTTTTTTCAATAATGAAACCATTGAGTGTATATTTTATATATTATACTCAATAATGAAACGTATATTGTTTACCAGAAAAAATCAAAAATCTGTTTTCAATTCCGTTGGTACCTTTTTCAGAGTTTAAATCGAATCATATCTCAAGTGAGAGATATTTTTTCATGATTTTTTTAGTCAAAAAGAATATTACTTTTAATCCCATTTAGATTACATTTTGTTTTATTATGACAATGGTGTTTGTATACTTGAAAACCAATAATTTTAAAAACAAAAATATTTAGTTGTGTTTAAATGTATTATAAAGACCATCATTTTATGCGCAGATATTTTTCAATCCGTTCAAATTTGTTTAATACTACTATCTTTGTTATCTAAGGTCCTCAAATATATGTTATAATAATATTATTGCTTATTTAATTATTTAGTTTCAACGTCCATTTTTAAAGTTGAACTCAGATAGGATTTTGAGTTAAACTTTGTTAACAACTCTAAAAATGAACACTGAAATGTGTCCAAAACGTTCATTTTTCATAATAAACAACGCCGTAAGGTGCATACCTAACACAACTGTCGAGTACAAATTATATATTATGGGATTAAGAGATATTAATGTCGGCTAATGTACTTCCAGTGTACCCATAATAGTGCTCATCCGCATAATAAATATTAACTACAGTGCGACTTCACCGTTGCTATAGAGTAATAATTTAAGGTTTTAATACCTGATGAAATCTGCGGATGTAAGAACCGACCGGTATTGTTCAATAGGTCGGTTAAATTTATATGTTTTACATTTAAATATTCAATAACGCTTTAATAAAAATTACATTTAAAACTATACTTTTATTATGAATAACTACCACCGTGTTTACCTACTCATCGACAGCCACGTTTATCAGAAATCAATTATACAATTTATACATACAATACTAGTGAATAATACTGTATTAAAGAAACTATTTAGATTGATGATAAAGCATACCCTATTTTTTAAATAGTACCCCCGTAATGCTTACGTTAAAAACACCCTAGGAAGTAGTATAATTTTTTATCCAGTGGAAAAAATATTAGTTTTTTTTTAAACCTCATCAAGTCTTATCGTACCGAGTCAGTCCGGGAGTGTGTAGCCAGAGTAGTTAATTTTTTTTTCTTGACTTGTTTTCACAAGGATAAGTTACTGTAGGGAAATATCGGATAAAAAAACTCGGCGTTTTATATTATGTTTGCTTACACAAGAAACGTATAAAACTACAGCCGAGCACAGACTATACTGATTTTGCAAAGAAGACTTTAACCGCGCATATACCTATCCAGACTTATATTTTATATACACCTTAAAATAATACATGTGTCGTTCATTGTGAATTATCTCTTTGTAATTGAATTTTTTGCCTCGATGTGACAGGCAAACAAATAAAATATACATATATGTATATTTTATAAATTTGGAGTTACACCACTTTTGCAATGAACAACCCACATAATTATATTAATATGTTTTGTCAACTTTTATCATTTATACTTTATGAAAATATGTTATTGACAATCGACCATAACGGTTTAATAAACTATATAATTATTCAAAAATCCTCGAAAGAAACGATACCATTTTACATAATATTATCGTATAGCATTATTGATCATACATAAAGTACAGTTTTTTTTAAACATTTTTTTTTTTTAGGATTTCTTAGCGATACTGTCCAAAGTGTCCCGGGGTAGTGTACAAGAGAAACTGCATTGGATATTCGGATTGTACGACCTCAACAAGGACGGAGTGATCACGAAAAAGGAAATGCAAGACGTTGTGCATTCCATTTACAGCATGTTAGGCAGACACACGGATCCGCATACAGACGATCAGTCGGCCAAAGATCATGTCGATCGGATATTTCACGTAAGTCAACACTTTCATTGGCCGTTCACCCAATGACTTGGCCAATTAAATACACTTTGAGTGGTGTATGGCTTTTGAGGTGGTCAACAACGACGCAGTGACAGATACCGAATTGAAAACAACCACTCGTTCGTCATTTTCAGAAAATTCAATCATTTTCATTGGCAATTATTTCAAAAACGGAGTTGTCAGAAAGTCTGTGTTTTTTAATTTCGGTTCTAATCATAAAAATAAAATACTGTTTTCGACAGTAGGTATACATAAATATTAAAAAATCGTTTTTTCATCCGATCAAAACCGTGCGTTATTAAAACGGATTATACAACAAAAAAAAAAAAATATATATATATATAACCATATGCACGTATTCCAAAAAAAGAATGACCACTGACAGTTAACTGACACCCCCCTTTGTGTATCCCCTACCCCTCCCCCGGCTATCCCGTGTGCGTCGTTGTCAGACTCTATACACAATGTACCTTGTTGTACTACATATTTTATATTATTTTAATTTGATTTAATATATTTATTATTTTTTTTTTTTTGTTCCGGTGTGTCACACACTTACAGTTAATCGACAAAAACAACGACGGCAACGTGACCCTGGACGAAATGGTCGCCTGGTGTAGCCGAGACGAGGGTATTCTCAAGTCGTTGGACACGTTGAATACGGTTTTGTGAAACGAGCCTCGCTCGCCCAAAATGCGCGTGGGGGGCACGCGTACCCGGGCGAGCCTGTTCAATTGGTGAAATGTCAGAATTCGCACATTTTTAAGTAAATAAAATTTAAAAAAAAACAGCGAGAGTGAGAAAAACCTATTTTCCGAAAATTCTCTCAGGCGGAGTTGGACCGGAAACAATCGGATAATCTTGTCACCGTCTCGATAATTGGTCATTACAAGATTAAAAAAAAAAAAAAAACGACATTGCCAATTATTTCCCCCAAGCCTGTTGTACCTACTGTGTAGCTGCTGAATTCAAGATCCAAAGTTACGGTTTAGTTATAAGTACCTACCCAAGTCAAGTCGGCGACTCGGAGGCGTCTTCGAAATACAGTAATACAATTACAGTAATTGATAGCTCGTGCCAATTTCTAATTGAAAAGTTTGTCGAAATAATTATAAAAAAAAAAAAATGTACTATTTGTTGGTTATGTAAAATATTGTATACGGACTTTTCAACATATTTGAAATTTTAACCGTTCATTTGTTATGTAAATATAGTATAATATCATTATTTAATAAAAAAATTGTTACAGGGTAATAAAATAGTACTCTTACTCTATATTATATTGCTATATAAAATGTAAAACGCAATTAATATATAATTATATCATTGGTAAAAAATATATTGTTATGCGATCGCCTCGACCAGAATAATCACCTAATTTTTAATTTTTTTTTTTTTTTAACAAAAACCTATTAAATACAAAACTAAACAATTTATTTGTTGTATGTTAATTGTTGAAAACAGCTGACCATAAAAATTCGGTTTAAAATTGTAAGTACTCTACGTTAGTAATATTTAGTTGTTCTTAACGTTACATTGGTGTACATTATAAAAATATCATACTTGAATACCTACTTCAATCTTAGAGTTCCTTTTTTTATATTTCTCAATGCTATGCTGTGTGTTACCTACTTATAATTGTTTCAAATCTGTCCGTTGTTATTGTAGACTAACTAATTTTAGTAAAATGTATAGATCTTCGTGAAATACACCAAAATTAAGCTTTTTAGATTAATAGAGTTTTTGCGGTGTTTACGGCCATATCTAATTAATTTTATCCAATTTCAACAGTGATGTCTTATAATATTATAGTACACCCGATTTTCAACCAGCTGTTATACTTGTCGTGTTATTAATATTATAAACATTAACGTTAATACCGAATAATTCACTTAATACTCCAATAATAATCACTACCATAAATAATAATTACCTAAAATAACCATCTAAAGGACAGCTTATGAAACTTTCCAATATATTTTGGGAGATTACTTTCAACATTGCGACGTTTTAATAGGGTACGCTATTATTTATTTTTTTGCTTTGCCATTAAATTCCACCTTTTATAACGAAATTCGATTTAATGTAGATAAAAAAAATATATATAGCAAATGTTCGCCAAGTCGTTTGTGATATAAACACAACAAAATAATTAATCAATCTACCAACAATTTAGATAACATTATTGTAACAAATTCCTATTGTTGATATAACTTTTATTTTGTAAAAATAACACTGAGCACATAAAAAACGAAATAAAAGCTATTGTTTCAAAGATAAATTGAAATAAACACTAACAGGCATTGTTATTATTATTATTTTTTATTCAAACCTACGTTTTCTTCTCCATATTTTGCTGTTTATTCATTTATATCGACAACTGAAATCATTGTTAACACAGATATAGCTTTGATGACTATTAATCAACACCGCATTAACCATTCCATACGACATCATAATAAAAATTAAGTATTATAAGACTTTATATTTTGAAAAAAAAAGAAAAAATATATAACATTTGTGTATTTTGGTCTCGTTTCTACTTTTTTCTATACATCTATACCTATTACTTATACATAGAATAATTAAAGTACTATAATTATTATAGTTATATATTATATGACCAACAAAATTAGACAATTTTTACAAGCTATGTTTGTTAACCACGAAACCCTATTTTAAATATTCAATGATTTAATGATTTTAAACAAAAAATATTAAACCAATATGCCAACGTGGCATGTACAGCCTAAAAAATATACACTTACATAGATGTTACATACTTACATATTAAAGTTATTGATGCAGTGAGATTTGTCTAACCCAAGATACTTAAAAAAAAACGTCCACTATTGATATAGGTTTAAAAAAAAAATAGAGATTAAGCTGTCAAAATTGTTTGTTTATAATATTTCTGTATTCATTATACACATGAAACATGGAATTATATTTGTTGATTAATTATAATTTGTACTATATTATAACTGTAAATAAATATTTATACGCTTGTATTATATAAATTACTTCCATAGACATTAATCGTTACTTAAGTTTTTCCTTTAAAACTTATTAGGCGTTAAAGAATTGATCGAGGTATACACATACCACGAGTATGCCTTGCTAATAATATAATGTGATGTATACTATTGTTCCATTATAAAAATATACATTGTTGTACCTACATTTTGGTTGTAAATAAATATTCTTTCGTTATATTTATTTGTCTGATTTTGTGTAAGTATTTTTGTTTGTTATAATATAATATGTATGGTTCTAAACTATATTTTGAAACCTTTGTTCCAAAATGCCTCTATGTTTTTCATTATCCAGTTCAACATAAAACCTAGCCGCGTTGGAGAAAATTTAAAGCCAGATTCAATTATTACATTTATAGATTTCACGCAGCGAAAAAAAATACACTTACATAAGTTGGATTTTTGTACCAAAGAAAGGCCAAATTGTGTAGTACAGTGTAAAAACAAGCATGAAAACATATTTTTACTGTCAAAACTGATGTAAGAAAATAATGTGAAATGAATAAACTTTTTTATGAGTACAAAAAAAATTAACGCTGCTAAAAAACCCGTTTTGTAGGCAATTTATTTGGCAACAGTTGGCAAAAACAATATTTTTCTAAGAACCCAAATCTGATCATTGATTTTTTTCCCAAAGTTAATAACAAAAAAAAAAAAACTACTGTCGAAAATTTAGTAATAAATACAATTTAACATGAATTTCAACAGCAACAATTGACGATATAAATAAATATCTGTGCGAACTAATAATAATAATATAGCTACCTAATGATATTTTAATCATTTTTTTTCTTATTGAGATTATATTATAATATAATAGTTATTATTGGAGTGTCGATAAAAACGTTTAAACAAATATTCGAAATAGGTATGTAAAATAGTTGTTAACGACTCTATATAGATAAAAAATAATGTTGGTATTTAGCATTGATTTTAAAATAATATTATACAGATAAACAGTGTCATACACGAGAACGGCGACCGATTTTATGCAGGATGACAAAGGTTCCCTCGTCGGCACAGTTTACGGACGGGCTGATGGTAAACCCAAACCGCTTATCTGTACATTTTATCATCAATAGTAATGAATAATTGAATAACCAAATGCCGATTCAGTAGGCATGTAATAAACGTGTAGTCGGTTTTTATGGTCTATGCATGTATCAGCACAAACACCGGGGCGAGTGAGACAATAATAATATGTACCTAACACAGGTAATTAGAATGCTGTTTTAATTTTCTTTTAACATTAATATTATTAAATTTTAACGATTTAAACTCAAAAACCAACCTACCGAGTTATTATTTCGGCTAAGACACACACAGTCCACGACAGCAGCAGATAAGTGTAATAGGTACTTACTCACATAATATTGTTATTGCCATACTAACGGTTTCGGCGGCGGGGCGAGAGCGGGAGGGGGGAACGACGGTTCATCCACTAGAATGAGAACACATAATGCGTTGCGTTCGTCACCGGTGACCGGTGACCGATTAACGGCGGCCGCGCGGTCTACTTCGGCGGCGCGCGCAACGCCATCTGTGCGCGGGCGGCGGCCATGGCGAGCGGTGTGCCGGTGTCCCGGTACGGACAGTGCTGCCACGGCCGCCGGGTCCGTTTGTCCCGCGGCCGCCGGGATATTGTGGAATTTTCCGAAAATTTTCCAGCGTACCGGTCGGAAGAGCGTGGAAAACCGGGCCGGGGGGGTCCGGGAACGTGTGGCCCGACGCCGGGAACGAGTAAAACGCCCGACGGCCGCCCGGCAAACGTGTGCGTGGCGGATGCGTCGCGCCGAGTTTTGCCGGCACTGTAAAAAGTGGTGATACGAACAATTTTTTTTAACCTTTCATTATTTACGTGAACTTTTTTCGCCGTTTATACGTACATAATATTGTCTCTCTCCCGAGTAAAATGGTGTATTCAAACAGGCGTAAGTAACTTGTATTTTTTTTATTCAATAATTGATATAACACGGTAAGCAACACGCGCCGACCGCTTCGCCGGCGTCCGACAACAATACACACGTACCTAAACATTGCATTTTGGTTTTGTCTAAAACAGATAAAACGATACGCCCGTCCATTGTTTGTTACCGCTCGGGACCAGTCGTCTGTTCAGCACCGTCAACGACCGCTAACAGCCAGTGAGTAAACAAACAGTAATTACGTTTGCTATATACCTAATATTCAAGAAAACCCGTATTGTCTTGTTATTGTTCTAAATAACGAATATATTATTTACGTATATTTATATATTTATATAATATATATTTATTATTATTATAAAATAATAAACGCAACAGCGCGATATGAGTGACGAGAGCAATCCTCGTACGCTGTACGTTGGCAACTTGGACCCGTCCGTCACCGAAGACCTACTATGTGCCCTATTCACAAATATCGGTCCGGTCAACGCCTGCAAGGTAATTCGCGAGCCCGGCAGCGACCCGTACGCGTTCCTGGAGTTTGACACTCACACAGGAGCGGCGACGGCGTTGGCCGCGATGAACGGACGTTTGTTTCTGGATAAAGAAATGAAAGTCAACTGGGCCACTACACCCGGCAACCAGCCCAAGCTTGACACGAGCAACCATTATCACATATTCGTCGGTGATCTGAGCCCTGAAATCGAAACGCACACGTTAAAAGAAGCGTTTGCTCCATTTGGAGAGATTTCCAATTGTCGTATAGTGCGCGACCCGCAGACGTTGAAGTCGAAGGGATACGCTTTTGTTTCTTTTGTCAAAAAGTCTGACGCCGAAAACGCTATTAACTCCATGAACGGCCAATGGTTAGGCAGTAGAAGTATCAGAACGAATTGGTCTACCAGAAAACCCCCGCCACCCCGAGCCCCCAACAAGTACAGTGGCTACAGAGCTGTAACGTTCGACGATGTTTACAATCAGTCGAGCCCGACCAATTGCACAGTGTACTGTGGAGGCATTGTTGAAGGCTTGACAGAAGAGCTTGTAGAACAAGTATTTTCTCGTTTTGGCACCATTGTAGAAATAAGAGCATTCCGAGATAAAGGGTACGCTTTCATCAAGTTCTCTACTAAAGAAGCAGCGACGACCGCTATCGAGGCTGTGCACAACACGGAAATCAACGGACATCCGGTCAAGTGTTTCTGGGGGAAAGAATCGGGAGACCCGAACAGCGCTGCCAATTTAGCCGCGCAAGCTGCGGCCGGAGCAGAAAACACTGGTCAGTATCCGTATAATATGGCTTACAACCAAGGTATGAACAGCTACTGGTACCCGTACGCACAAATGCAAGGACAATACGTGCAAAGCATGGCAGGCGGCAATTATGGAGGTGCCGCTGCTTACAGCCAGTATGCCGGATACCCGTATCAGATGGGTAACGCGACCGCTTTTCAAATGGGTAATGGAGCTGGACAACCTACCAACGGGCAGCAGATGTCTACACCTGCCAATATGCCGGCCGGAGTTTACTCGATGCAGTATCCAAGTCAGTGACGACCGATAAAATAGATTTCTTAAAGTGTTGAAATCTTGATCGTTTTCTCATTTGTGCTCTGTGTATATACTTATAAAAAAAAAAAAACATATAAATTAATAAAATATTAGAAAGCAAATGTATGAAAATAAACATTATAAATTTAATTTAACCTTCTGTTCCATTATTTATAGCACGTGGCCCCAATGTAAGTTTACAATTGGTTTATTATAATTTTTTTTTATACATACAATTTTGTTCCCTCAATCTTTAATAATTATATATACATTATTATATAATATGCTAGATTAGGTTATTGCAATGCATTGTTAATTCCATCTAGTATAATAAAACAGTATGACATTATATTAATAAGTTGTTAGGCGTACTTTAATAAAATATTTTTAGATGTTATTTCTACTATAAGGTTGTAAAAACACAGAGAACTGAGTAAGTTCACCCTCATCAGTTAACTCATCTGCGAATTTTATGTAATTATAATGTGCTCTATTTACTAAATATTATTCATTTATTTGTTATGTTTTATTTTTTCATAATACTTATTTAAAAATAACTTAATTTATGTTTACCTAATGTTTAATCGGGGAATTGAATGTTTGAGCTAAACATAAAATATGTTGTTGAATTAATAATTTGTGTAATATACAATTAATCACAAAGGGGAAGTATTCAAATTCAATACTTTATTATGTGTTTATACTTTGTGTAATTTGTGAACTGAACTGGTACAAATAATAATGCTCCAAGGAAAATATTATTCTGTAAACAAATAAACAAAAAATGTGACTTTCTAAATCAATTGAAATAAAAAATAATTTTTTACACTACTAGAATCATGAGTATAATTATCTGTGTATTATTGAAACATTTTATTAGGTGTCTGAATTTATTTATATAGTTAAATTGCATTTGTAATATATACTGTAAACCTCCGAGGGCTGGATCGTTTGATTAAAATTGTTTACTGTGTATTATATTGTATGATTAATTTTAATACACTATACAAAATATAATATCATGTTCAGATAATTTTCAATATGCTCTTAATTTTTTTTTTTTAAATAAACATAATATTCTTATGTAAGATTATGTTTGTTCTAGACCTGTTTAAGTCGGTTGGTTTATGCTTACATTGTATAACAGAAGAAAACTGTAGCTCAACGATTAATGCAGTTTTTTCTTTTAATACGAGCCCTCGTGTAATATTTTACTTATAAAATTGTTCAAACTAAGATGTATTTACTATACCTAATCATCTTAATTCCTTCAAAACAAAACATTGTTTAGGCTCGGTATAACATGCATTCGGCTCACCATTTATTTTTTTTTTTTTTTCCAATTATAAATTATCGACATTAGTAATGTCTGATGTAACAAGGGAGACATAATATTAGGTTACATATTTTGGTATATTTGGAATGATTCAACCGTATTCATTTCAGTAAGAAATTCAAGCACAATATATTATTATTTACAAGGTACGGATATATATTTTTATAAATACATTTTGGTTGTTTCTTTTTTCAAACACATTTTATACTTTTTATCGCTTCTAAGTAAATCAAGTTAAATAAAGAAGTGTCCCTCACCTACCGTTCTTACAAATTATATCATATTACGTTATGTAACAAATTATGTGTTTATTGTTATGTAATAACAATTAGTGATAATATCAAAAATAAGTTCACACTATAATTTTTTAACACAACTGAGCTGGTCATTTTATCGAAGTAAAAATTAATTTAACAATCTATAAAATTATGCTATCATTTTTAATTATAACGAACGGTAATTTTAATACTTATTGTTAGTTGTAATTAATAATTTAAGACTTTTTTTAATATAAGTGTGTATATATATATATAACAATAATATTATTGTCAATATCTATTGTGCTATTTAATTTTCGGGGAAATATGCATTAACTATAACTTAATTTGTTATGATTTAAACATATAACTCCAATTAGATACCTATTATCGAACTGGTACCCAATAAAAGCATAACATAAAGATAGGTATTAACTTTGTATTCTGTACATTATCAAGTTCTTAATACAAATTTAAAAGAGTATTGGTGATTACAAATTAATATTGATCCCATAATGTACAATATAGTATAATAAAATTTCTCTATACTTGTATGCAGTTAACGTTAGTAGTATGGAAAATGGAAATTATTTATTAATCATACTTGTTACCTTTGGAAAACTAGTAATTACCTGATCACATGTTTACATTATGTATACAATGTGTTTGTTTGCGGTATGATTAATCGAGTAAATGAATTCCATAAAAATTATTATGTATTTAATGTCGATGCTACAATGAAATTTTAATTGTTTTTATTTTTATTTATTTTTTTACTTTTAGTAAGGTTTAACATGAATCATAGTATATGCCTATTAATTATCTACTCTTAACTAAGCTGTTTCGTCATACATTTTTTTATTCATGATTCAATTCAAATTAATTTTTAGCATCATCATAACTCCGAATGATTTGAAATAGTGACGGACAATATTTATAACAATAATTATTATTTATTATTTTAAAATATAGAAGAAAAAAAAAATTAAATAACAATCTCAGAAAACATTAAATTGTAAATAGTTACGTTAACACATGTATCAGTGTACTTAAAATGCAAAATTGTACGACAGTAATGATAAAGCGTAAGCCGATACTAGGTAAACTTATAGTTGTTGAAATATTTTTGGTTACTTAATTGAGGTCGTTAAGTTGTACTTCTGTGTACATTTTCAATTAAACGTAAGTGTTTTCCGTACAACTTTTTATTATAAATAGTTGGTATTGTATGATGTTATGTAATATATACTGTACGTGTAGTTATAGCAAACAGGTCATGCGCTAACTAGGTACATATTTTTTTTTTTATAACATTAATACAATAAACTTGAAAAAGTTGCAAAAACAAACCATGAATATATGTATATATTAATTAATAAAACATAATAATATAGTATAAATATTTATAAATTAAAAACATTTTTTTAATTAAAATTTAGTACACATTATATGATATTATTTAGAATGAAATGTCTTGTATATGAACAAGATACGTACAACAGTTAATAACTAAGCAGGTGGCCGACAAATTAATGTATAAAACAGCTCAACTGAGAAAAGTCACAAACGTTTTAAATGCCATCGTAAAGAAAAACCTGTAAAAAATAAGAAACTGTGTTAACGTCTAAAAAAAATAGGTATCGTTAATTTGTGCTTGATAGCGATGGGAAAGTATGAGATAAAAGGGGAACTGAAAAATGAATATGCAAGGAAAAATCTAATAGAAATTACACTATATTTAAATATTATTATTTGATTAATTGTAAACTCGAGGAATGTAAACAATTTAAGAGGTACACCTCGTTGTATACACTTTAATTTACTATGTATGATGTGTGATCACGGGGAAGGAAAGTGGTACTTGCCCCCCCCCCCTTTTATACAAATAAATAATATCAATTTTGGTTAACCATCCTAGGAAATTACCAGATGGGCATTTACTTTTTAAATTCTAAACGATACTTATAAATTATATCACCTGTGAATATGAGATATGTATCCTAATGGTAGACACTAGTGAACAATGTAGGTATGTACCTATCGATTAAATCGTGTTGGGTACATATTCAGATTTCAAAGTAATAAAGTTCAATTTAATTTTGAACTATTATTTATTATTAGCCATCTTTGTCGTACCTATGTTCTCTAAGGAGGTATACTTAGATGAGACGGGAAAAACGCTGAGCATTAAAATTCTGGAATTTATTATGATTCATTATGATTACTAATTAGAATTGTTCGTCGATTACTACTACTGGACCCGTGTGCTTAATCACATAATAGATATATGACATTATAATATATATAATTTGTTAAAATATTTCAATTTGTGGTCATACTAGCTGTCAGGGTTGGCTACATTTAAGCGTGGTTAATAGCTGTTGTTTCCTGTAAGGTCCATATTATTGTTTTAACTTAAAACAATTGTCGTTGCAGACTATATTATAATTAACGTTTGAAAATACAGACATAGTGGGTATACATTTTTTTCCCTAGTGTTTTTATAAAATGCAATAGTCTGCATTTTCTACTTTTTTGAAAGGACTGCTAACCTTTCGTGTAGAAAATGTAAACCAAAAAAAAAACCATTAGTGTACCTATGACGTGTAACAATAGATAGTGAAGATGGACGGGGGACATTCGCATATCGGGCTTGGCGCAAGGTAAAAATTGCTTAAAAATATTATGTTGTTTGATGGAGAAATTAGATAAAACGGCCATGCTCGACCTTCACAAAATCTTATCAGCTCTGAAGCCAAAAATCAACCAAAACTTGGGTGTATAGTCATTAAGTACATTTTATACATAGAGCGTTTCACAAAAATACATATGACAAATTAAATAACTTTTGTTTTAGTGAACATTTTTAAGATTTTTTTTAACACATTATTCTCTTCTTCATCTTAATTAATACTCATTTGAGCTATAAACACTACGTTTGTTATTGCTCTTAACCGTTTTAATTTTTTAAATAATTTTTTTTTTTTAATTTAATTTAAGAATATTTTTACATGCGCGCATTACTCTACCACACTTCACCTCCCGTCTTGAATTTAACCTTTTACTAACTTAATAAGTAATTATCCAAAACTGGTTATCGACCAGTCAAAATGCTCGGCAAATTATTCGTAATAATATGACTGTCTTAAATGAAAAAAAAAATTGTATAAAGTAAAACAGTCAAGAGCAATAAATACCTACTGTGGTTTTTACGGGATAATAAAGTGAGTGGTGCTTCACATTTTAATCTAAGATCTTTTTTTCTTAAATTTTAGTATAAGTTTTTTGTTCTATTGTTAACTGCATAATAAAATATGTTGTATACAGGTCGTACGTCCTCTATCTTTGCAACACACTCTTAGCTTTATGGGGTTTATTATTTTATATCCTATAACGGCCATGGCGCATTACCACTTTTTTATAAGATCATTTTCGATAAATGCTAGTTAAAGATAACGCAAAACCGTGCGTAAGTCTAATATTTATTGTACTTAAACCGCACCGTGAGTTATCAGTGTCAGTGGAAACAATGACTTTTGACTACATTTGGTGCTTAAAGTCGCTCGGGTTGGAATTCCCAAGGTTAAATTCCAGTCAAGAATAGGGTTTTTTGTATAAAGAAAGCGCGAGGAAAATTAGGGAGGGAGGGGGGGTTCTCTCGAAAAGAGTAGTTTTTTTAAAGGAGGGTAAGCTATTTTAAATATTCTTCCTCTGCCCCTCTCCAGCTCATCCCCCCCTAAAAAAAATAGTTATATTATAGTTAATAGTTTTAATTTTAGCTATCCATTAGTTATTGCAACTATTGTTGCAATTTTATATTTTACTTACATAATATCATTATTATCCATTACACTCTTTTATAGGTAGGTGTGTGCGCTCAGGCCACAGCAAAACAAGTTCACTGGCGTAGACGCTATAGGACTGTTAGGGTGACGACATGTCGCCGTTTCTATAGTAATTTTTCAAGAACATAATACATTAAATATTTTTTTAAGTGACCATCAATACCGGAAAACATCAAATACAAACAGGTAAAATAATTTAATGTTTAAACCCAGTAAAATTAAATACAGCCCCGTGGATTCGTAATGTAGGTACGTTTTTTTGGAGACAAAGCGGAATTAGGTAAATAATTATTGCACAACGTGTGTTAATTGACATACACAACCGAGCTGTAATTATTCCTATAATTTGTTCTTTTTTAATTTCGATTTTTTTTTAAAAACTGAGTACGTAGGCAACTGTCAATCATAATATCGGCCAGTAGCATAATATTAATCTGTTATAGAAAAAAACCTTTAAACATGTCGCCATCATTAACGCTTGGAAATAATATTACAGTATATTTTTGGGCTAGCCCACAGCCATGTACAAACGGTGTACCTATCTGTGTGTTTACTGCTTACATTTACATATAGAGATAAAAATTACAAACATTTCACTGACAAATATCTACTATAATACTCACTATACAGTTTAGCTACGCGCAACACTTATAATATTATTATGTAGTAATATAATTATAACGCTTCCCCCCCCCCCCACCCGTTTGACCGTGAGTTAAGTAACCCAGTTTTTGACTATATATATATCCACATAGGTATTTAATATTGTTCGTGTGTATTGGCATCCGCGTTACAAAAGATTTCATAATCTTACAAAACTCAAAAAAAAAAATCCCCTTTCACTATGATATATATTATATATTATACAAGTACAGCGGCGGCAGCAACAGTCGTGCTGGGCCATAGCACAATAACATGTGATACCACTATAATATTATACTACTTAGAATTTAAACGGCGGCAATCGAACGTAGCTGGTATATCGTACCTACGGTTTTTTGTTAGTTTTAGTAATTATCATTAAACGTTTTTTTATTGGCGACGGCTTGCGGTATTATATTATGTGAAAACGCCAAATCGTTTGACCTTGACGACAAACAATTTTTTAAAAAAAAAACTTCAGCTGCGCTTTGGCTGGCGTCCCGTCCCCGGCGACTTATCGATTTCCGTGACCGTGATACCGTTTTGCAGTCTGATTAGTGATAACCAGATACCGCCGACGCTGTAACATAATATAATATGACCTCTCGGCGGTTATTGTGTTTTGTTGTTAAAAAACACACAAACAAAAGCCCATTGCCGTTGCGTGTAATCGCACTCGGTTAGCAGTTTCACGAATTGTGCAAAAAAACGTCAGCCGCCGTCAGCGTTGGCTCGGCGCGCTTGCTCTGCGACGATGGCACTGTGTCAAAGCAGCAGCTGCTGCCAATGATATTGTCATAATAATAATTGTAATAAAACCAAATAACCGAAAACAACAACTACAACAGCAGCAGCGAACTATGGTAGGTACACCGTCGTGCGGCTAAAGTCGAAAAGTGTACCCATATTAGAGCAGGCCTGGAAGACAACCCGGACGCGGTACGCAACAATGGATTCGTTTCTGGACCTGTTCGATCCGGGCTCGAGCGCGCTGGCCAGCTGCGACATATGGCCGGAGGACGATGCGTTCGCCACGCAACTGCCGCCGGAGCCGCAGATGGGCAACGTAGAGTACAAGCTCAAGCTGACGAATCCGTCGAAATTGCGTTTCGAACATCTAGTTACACAGGTAATAGTACTAGGATTTTCGATCGAGTCGTGTATTAATCAATAACGATTTTGTCTTCTCCCGAGTTGTTATAACTTATGTATTGTACTCTAGATGAAATGGAGGCTCAGAGAAGGTCACGGTGAGGCCATCTATGAAATCGGAGTCGAAGACACGGGCATGTTAACTGGCCTGTCGGTCGACGACATGCAGTCTAGTCTGTTAACACTCGACCAGATGGCTAACAGACTCGGAGCCACTACGTCCGTGTTACGCGAAAGAGAAGTCGGCAAAGACAAAATGGTAGCCGAAGTTTTAGTCAGAAAGGTTTGTTTTCAAACGTGTAACTTTTATAATAAAGTTTTGATAACTAACATAAAAAAAATATTAATTCAGAACTTCTTAAAAATGTTCAGTATATTACGGTTTTTTTAATTTTTACTTTGTTACATAATGTTTAAAAACTAGATAGATTTCATACTTTTTTTTAACTAAATAAAGTACAATGTAAATGTCAGATTAAATTTAACAAATAAATAGCTAAGTTGTCAAAATTAAGTGTATTTTAGGTACAAATTACATTATTACCATTTTATTATTAAGAATTTATTTCTATATATTTTTTACCAAAAAAAAAAATTACTTTTGTAAATTTTTTTATATTTATGTGTATACACTACATGAAGGTCAAGTTTAAAGTCAAGTCATCAGAAATAAACAAAGGAAATTATTTGCTTAGTCGACTAATGTCAAACTGAAATTGTTATACGAGTAGGTAGCAATAACAGCTGATATCGAGTAAAAGAGTCGTGTATAAACGATAAACACATAATCATATTACATCATCTAAACAATTTTCACTTCATGATGATATGATAGTAATTGATTAATTTTGTAATTTAAGCTTACAGCGGTTAATTAATAATTTTCACTTACTAGTTTCACACCATTTTTAAAAAAAAATGTATATCATTTGTTTTACTGAAATCATTAAATAATAATTATAAAACATGTTAGAGTTTTTAAAATATTAATATTGATTTTTTTTTTTTTTTAAGGTACCAGATGATCAGGAATGTATAGAAGTAATGGTTGCCGTGTTGGGCGGAGCGGACGCTGGAAAATCAACGCTGCTTGGCGTTTTGGCTCATGGAGAGTTTGATAATGGACGAGGTAGCGCACGGTTAAATGTTCTTAGACATTTACACGAACTTCGATCTGGTCGAACGTCTTCAATATCACATGAAATATTAGGATTTGACATCGAAGTATGTTACTGTTGTTATAATTTTATACAGTATGAAAGTAAAAATTGCTACTCTTATTCAGTGAATGATAAATTGTGATACTACAATTTTAGTAATGGTAATAGCTAATAATGTAATAATATGATTCCATGGTTCGAAATAGATTATTTAAAATAAGTAAAAGTAGAGAAATATAATATTAAAATGGTATTAGCTTTATCGGAATTAAGAATAGGCCTTCGGAAACACAATTGACCCTATTTTTTTTAGAGCTGTCAATTTTCTATAATCAGAAATGTTGTACAAATAAAGTTGTTTAAAAACAATGCTAAAAAAAATCTAAAATAGGGAAAATTCAAATTTTTTGAAAGTATTGATTTTTAAAAACATTTCCAAAATAGGTTTTTGTAAGTGTCTATAATATGAGTTCATATTTAAGTTACCTTTTTATTGTGTTGATAACAATAGCGTTATTTACTGACATGTTCAATATTTATTTCCAGGGTGAAGTTATTAACTATCAGAAAGCGCGTACCGCCGAAGAAATACGTGATCGCTCGTCAAAGCTTGTCACGTTTCTTGATCTGGCAGGGCACAAGAAATATTTGAAAACCACAGTTGCCGGCCTCAGCGGCTATTGTCCACACCAAGTCATGCTAGTCGTCAGTAGTCCCGCCGTGTCTTCTTCTAGCGCTACTCCTTTGGACATGACCAAAGAACATATGGATTTAGCCCTGGCGCTAAGGCTGCCGTTCTGCATTGTCGTCACCAAAACAGACATTACGCCGGCAGATAACACGTTAAGTTGGCTAGAGTCTATATTGAAGTCTGTCGGTAGCCGTAAAGTAAGCGTTTTTTTTAAAATTTTTATTAAATTATGATATAATAATAAATCTTGTTCGTCAATAGGTTCCTTTGGTAGTCCAAACAGATGATGACGTCATCACGGCTAACGCAGCTCAGCAAACGCAAAACGTCGTACCAATATTCACAGTGTCCAGCGTGACCGGCAAAGGTCTGGATTTGTTAACTAGGTTTTTGTACGTTCTACCGCCGAGTATTAGCATCAAAGAAAAAGAACGTTTGGAACAGGTCACAATTTTTATAACACGGTTCTGAGAATAAAATGACATATTTTTACTAATATTTTAATTGTCGGTGTAGGAGTGTTGTCAGTTTCAAATTGACGAAATTTTCAAAGTGCCCGACATCGGCACTATTGTCGGGGGCGTTCTCACACAGGGAGTTATTAATATTGGTACAGAACTAGTCGTAGGTATTTAGAACAAATTTTTATTTATGACACGCTTGTTTTGTAATTTTGTTTTAAATTTAACCATTTTCATCCGATTTAATTGCAAAGGTCCGTTCAACAATGGAAAATTTGCACCCGTCACTGTACAATCGATCCACAGAAATAAAGCGCCTTGTAGAGTAGTCAAGGCTACTCAGAGTGCATCGCTAAGTCTGGAACAGTCCGTGCCTGGCTTGCGCAATGGAATGGTGCTATTAGGATCGGGCGTAAATCATCAAGCGTGCATGTTTTTCCAAGTAATATTTATTACACAACTGTTTGTTGCAATTTTTTCAAACTAATAATTATTTGTTTTGTTAATTTAATGTTTTTTGTGTAGGCCAGAATCGTTGTACTGTACCACGCCACGTCCATTCACAACGGTTTCCAGACGACAGTTCACATAGGAAATATAAGGCAAACCGCCGCCATCGTAGCGATCATGGAGTGCGACAAACGGGGAATGCACACCAACGACACTGCGTCGGTAATATTCAAATTCGCTCGCCATCCGGAATACGTTACTGAAGGGATGAGGCTGTTGTTCCGAGAAGGACAAACCAAAGGCATTGGCAGAGTCACCCAAGTGTTTGCCGTACAAGTGGAAGCGGCATAAACTAGAAATTTTATTTTTAAAATTGAACGATATAAATTTTATAGTGTAACGTTTAAAAAAGTATGGTTGTTACTTTATTTTGGCTGTTAAAGTTGTGGCCAGGTTTTACGGGGGCGCATTATTTGTCGAACACGGCTAAATTTGATTTCAACTGTATAATATGACTTGTTAGTTATTGTAAAAGTGCTAAGTACAATGTATAAAATTAAAGGAAAATTGAACATTAACATAAATAATACAGTCTTATACTTTAGTGAACCAAAACGATACTCGTTGTATACTTTTAAAAAATGGAGAAGAAATCACGTGTCAAATGATTTGCATTTGTCATTTTTGTAGTTTTATTTCTAATCAAACTATTTGTTAGGTAGTTAAGTTTGATTCGAAAATTTGCAACATTAAGTACAGTTCTAAAACCAGACCAAACTCCAGTACCAAATTTCAGTTCAGTTCAATTTTACTTCAAACAGTTTGTTACGTCACTGTTTCTAAAAATTAAAACATAATATGCAAGACATGAAGGTGTTTTTTTTAACTTACTTTGGTAATACTTACCAACATAATGTACTTACCAACCTGGGCATTTTTTATTTAAATAAATAATTATATAAAAAAGTAATGTATCATTTAAAACAAATATATGTGTAGAGCATCAAATAATTTATATTTTGAAATAAACATTTATTCACTGCATCAAATACATTTTAAGTGGTAATTATTTTTAATTGTTTGTTTTTTATAGTTTTAAATCACGAACTATGATTATCTAGATACTAACTAGTATCTAGTTTGTGTTTTAAATAATATTTTATTTAGACACATTTTTATTTGACTATCAAATAACCTGATAAACTTATTTGATTTTATTATTTTAGTCATTTTTTTTTCTTCTAAAAACATTACTTAAAAGTTTACATAAAAATATATTTAAACAATTTTTTATTCGTTATTTAAATTCATTTAACAAAAAATATATTATTTTTATAATATGAAATTACTTAAATAATGCCCAGGTTTACTTTGTAATTTTATTTAACAATTTAAAATAGAGACCTTGAACTCAAATATTTGTTTAAGTACAAATCCTACATTGATACTAACGTGTGCAAAAAATTATGTCGTATATTGCGTAATATGTTGGAATTTATTCCAGCCAAACCTTTAATTTCGATTTTTATACGATTTTAAACGAATTATTTAAATTATGTTTTAGGCATTAATAATTTTTTTAAGAAAAATGTTTATTTGATTGTTTTAAATATTTTGTTATTTATATTGGCTATTTTTAAATTATTACGTAAAATTATTGTTTTAAGATAATAAATAATAGATAAATTGACGGACGAGGGGAAGGGAATCACTGCGTCAAAATAAAAATTATAAACTATATACCGGATCTGAGGCCCACAAATTTCTGGCTACGTTACTTGATATTGGAGATTATGAACTCAAACAATATGTCCTATAATAAATATGTATCGTCTGCACCATAAATGGTGATCAACTGGTGTATGATTAAAATATATTTCAGATAAACGAATTTGACTAGAGATTATTAAGTTGATTATGTGTTATATGGCTACAGTGAACTACCTTTTAGTCTAATTTTCAGACCATAAGTTTCTGAATACGCTCAAAAAAATTATATACTAAGCTGAACTTTTTTTTGTTTTACAGGCGTCATTTTAAGACCTTATAGTTGGAAATTAGTCAGAAGGTAGGACTCATGTTTATCTATAATGTATCGAATAGAGGAAAAAATCAGGACTAAAATTATTTTTTAATTTGCCGAAAAAATGGGTTTTTGGCCGATTTTGTGAAGTACGTTATAACTTCGAAAAAAAATTATCAATTTAAGTCAATGTTTTTATAGACACCTATTAAAGTGACCTTATTTAGTTTTTGTGCGTTTTTAGTTTATTTAATTTTAATTTTTTTTAACGAAGATTTTTTTGGCCGGGTAACCGCTGATCTAATTTTTTCATGTAGGTAGTTGTTTATAAAGATTAAAAAATCTATAGACAAAATTCGTTTATAAAAACAAATTTAATTCAATTATTTATCTACAATGTGGCGATGTACAAAAGTCTTAATGAAGTCTTCATAACATTTTCAAGGCATCGATCGTGGCGCGATTTCGAAAATAATTTTTAAATTCTTATACTTTATAGTAGTAAGTGTAATCTTTTCTGCGTCAAAACACTGAAATTATCAATTTTCTAAAAACTATTTTAAAGTTGTGCCACGATCAGTGCCTTGAAATTTTTCGAAACTTAAATCAGAGTATTCTTAGGAACAGTACGTTTAATGTAGAATCAGCTGTTTTCGACCAAAACTACGCAGGTGTAGAGGCGCCTTAACTTAAAAACTTGAAAAATGTGTGATGCCAACAGTTATTTGCCTTTTGTCTACATTATAAAACGATACAAATCGTATCGTCGGCTTTTGTACAACACAGCAATTCTAACTAAAATTAAAATGTTAGATGCATACATGAAAAAACAGATTAAAATATTAGGGTCGTTATTTATGTAGGTATAGGTAAAAACCACTTTCAAATAAACACACTTTGACGCGTATTTGTAGACATAATATTAATTTCCAATAATGAGCTTAAAATAGTATTTTTAAGTATTAGGGTGGATACGATTAGGGTTGAACGTCTGTCTATAATATTTTACAAAATAATGAATATTCCATTGAAATATGGTACTAATTTTATTATTTACAAATAAGTAATAAAACGTCGTAATTTTAAGTTGAAAAATATGTACATTTTTTGGACGTTACTCCTCGATTTTGATGGTAAAGGGATGAACTGTACCTAGACATATGTAAACTGAAGAAATCGGTTCAGCGAGTTAAAAGATATCGTGGGTCTAGACAAAAAAATAAAATCCACATCAAAACTAGTAAACTTAAGTTTTGTATCAATAATCAATTAATAAATAGGAAAGGTAGTATGGTGATTATTGATATATTCTAATTAATTTGTATGTAAGATAGTAAGTATTAGTTAAAATTATTTTTAACAACATATTTCATATAATAATGTATATATATATATATATATATATATATATGGGGCATTCTGAGTCAAACCACGCGGTCATCGGCCTGACCTCCTTGAATTTTGTTGAAATTTTTATCACTATTTTTTGCCCCAAAAATAGAGGTTTTTTAAGTTATTTTTTAAAAAAAATAAATTTCGACCAGTTTTAAATTTTTATCATAAAATCAGAGACTCAAACTAAATCTTTTCGTCTAATAACAGGAGTGGGCCGAGATTTATTTCTATTTTTTTTAATAAAGACATTTTTTTCTTTCAAGATCTGAAAAAAAATTAATTTCAGTTTTATTTAAAAAAAATATAACATGTCTTGATAAATTATGATTTTTTGCATATTTTGGGAGTAAAAGGGGCGAAAATGTTCCTTACGAATAAAATTAAAAATAATACAGGGGCGTAGTGTGGACGTAGTGTGCCACGCGGCATCTGAGGTTAAGCTGTGTCCCTTACTGCTTGATCCAGGATGGGTGCCCACCCGGAAAATTTTTCATTATTAAAAAAAAAATAATCTCGGCCCACTCCCGTTATTAGACGAATAGATTTGATTTAAGTTTCTGATTTTATGATAAAAATATCAGGAATCCTATGGTCGAAACCTATTTTTTTTGAAAATTAACTAAAAAAACCTCTATTTTTGGGGCAAAAATTAGTGATAAAAATTTCAAAAAAATAAGTCTTATATTAAACCAAAAGAAGTTTAAAAAAATAATGTTAAAAAAATTTGAGGTCAGGCCGATGATTTGACTCAGAATGCCCCATATATATATAACTTGTTTTCTGTAAAATAAGTGGTTTTTTAAAACGTATTAGGTTTTGTCGTATTATTTATGTTATGCTTAGAAATTTTGATATTACGGTTTTACAGAAGTAATATTTTTCCAACATAAAATATCAATTCACGAAAATTATGTTTAGTTAATAAACAAACTTGAAAAAGTTATCAGTGGTAATTTTTGTAAATATTATGGTGCGGATCATAAAAACATATAATTAATATGTTAATAAATAATATTAATTATTAATTAGTAGGTATTGGTTTCTCAATGATGTACTTAATTTTAGTTATTCATTTTGTATCTGTGTACACATTAACTACCAACTTAGAATTTTACAGTAGCATTGTTTACCAATGTAAATTAAAATACCTAAATATGATAAAGAATTCCACAGCCAAATTCAACACGATAGGGTATTTCTATTAAATTAAGTGAATTGTAACAAAACATTTTAAAATATATTTTTTTCTTGTAGATAATACGCTTTTGTACATAATACGATGCGTATAACCGTGTTTTTTTGTTTCTTTATTTGTTCTTGACAATTGACTATATATCTAGTAGTACTTTATACCTACTTAAAAACACTTTAACACAAGTAAAGTCTATTGTAAATGGGGTGAACTTCTATGTTCCTCTTTTTATGACAGTAAACTGTTTTTTTTTTTAGCAAGTTGAAACATAAAACTTTGTTTTTTTTTAAATAACAGAAAAGTTCAGCAATGGTGGGAATATTAAAATAAATGTTAAGATGCATTATATTTGGTATTCATTTTATTACTGTAATCATGTTTTTTTTTGTTAAAACAAAAAACAAATTTGCCGTATTGACTATTACACATGTGGTTAACCTAACCGTACCAGGCAAAGGCCAAAGCATTAAGGTTAAATCATGAGCATAAAGAATATAAATAGTAAATAATCAAAATTAATTATTGTATTGTATATTTATATTTGTTATAACTCATAATGTTAAACAATTGACTCTATTTACCGCATTTTATAATAAAGAATTTTAAAAAATAGGAGGAAGCAGAAGTAAAAATAAATTGTTGGAATAGATTAGACGATAAAATACAAATTTACTTATTCGGTGAATATTCTTTTTATTGGTAGATAGGTATATGTAATAGACATAATATAATATAATTTATATGATAGGCAACAAAATATATGTTATTTGAAATACATTGTTATAAGAAAAATCTGAAGGTTGAAACGCGATTATGATAAACAAAGATAAACATTTTACAATATACACATATTAGTAAGCATATGAATTTTGAGAATGTGACACGGATCTTGGATACCGCAGTTTTGTTTGTAAATTTAACTGTCGTTAGGGGGGGGGGGGGTTAGTTCTTAGCTAAATAATTGTGATTTTAAAATATCAAACTGTTTTATGTAAAATAATCGGTTATAAAATTTTTTAATTATAATAGTTAAACATTTTCAGCATTAATTTAGTCATTTGAAAAACGAATGATAAAATTACATATTGAATTATACTATTATGGTTGTGGTGCTGGTGGTGCTGGTGGTGGGGTGGGGGTGGTGGTAGTTGTGCGGGTGGGGGTAGTGGTGGTGGTTGTCTTGGATTTTGTCGTGTTCTGGAAATTACTGAAGCTAGTTGTACTGAAAAATCAAAAAAAAATTATTTTAGTATTTTATTTTATCCTAGTGCATCACGTCTAAATTATTTTGATCCAAAACCATTTAATTTTCTTATAGCCACATGTAATAACCTTAAAATAATATTATAACTGGATATGCAAAATTATACAATATGTTCATGAACATGGCAAACGTATTCTTATTTTCCACAATTTAAGGCATTTGTAGCATTTTATTTATACTTTAAGCTTTATTGTAAATAATTTTAAAACTGCTAGTAAATTTGCAAAGCCTATAAACCGATATTATCAATTAACTTACTACATCCGCTTGTATCTGAAATATTGACAAAAAAAATTACTTTAATGTTTCTTTTTATCCTTATGTATAAATTATATTTTTTAATTTTAATAAAAAACCTTTTATTACTATAGCCACATGTATTATTCTCAAAATAATATTGTAGCTGGATATACAAAATTATAAAATATGTTTATGAACTTGGCAAACGTATTCTTATTTTCCACAGTTTAAGGCATTTGTAGAATTTTATACACATTTTAAGCTTTATTGAAAACAATTGACAACTTCTAGTATATATTTTGTAAAGCACATGATATACTGATATTATCCATTAACTTACCAACTCCCGGGTGACCTAAAATATTGAAAAAAAAAAATTACTTAAATTTTTTTTTATCCTAAATTATATATTTTAAATTTTAATCCAAAAGCGTTTAGTTTTATTACAGCCATATACATGTTTCACGTATAAGTTATATATAAAATAGATGTCTAGATGTCTTATAATTTATACGTACCTATCTTTAGTAATAGATATGATAATAACTAACATGGTTGTTATAATCAGAATTACACTTTTGAAATTCATATTGTTAAAAAATATCTTAAAAATGTACTTAGTAATATCTTAGTATCTGAGCGCACGGCAGTGCTCCGGCCAAGTTCTAGCAATGCCAGTGTATCTTTACACGAACCAATTCACCCGGTATTTCTAACTCTCATATCTCTGCTACTCCTTAAGATGGGCTTTTAAAATTTGAAACCTAAACTAAGCTTAAATAGTTTAGGACACTGTCTAAAATTGCGGCCTTAATATTTAGCCGTTTTAAAATGGGAGAATTTCAAAATTTGCTTTTTTGTTACTGACTCACTCGTCATCAAAATTATAAGACACTTCCCGTATAGGTAGAAACGCGAACAAAGGTGGGTCTTATAGTGTAAGCAAAGGGAAAAAATCTGAAAATTGCAATTTTCTCAAAATTTATGCGTTAGGTGGGCATTGATGACCTTCGCCGCGCTACAGCCGGTTCAGGGCGCTGTTGATGTACAAACGATGATATTGGCTACTTGTATGAATATAGCTTAATTCTAGCTTCACTAATTTATTAATTGAATTACACTATATTAATTATGACTAATTTAATAATTACTATCGTGGTTTATTAATAAATGATTAATAGTGGCTACTTGTATAGATTCTAACTTCACTACAAATCTACAAATGATATGAATACACATATGTACATACATATGAATGTATATATGTCTACGTAGTTGTAAAAACAAGAGAAAATCTACGACGTACAATATACATTGAAAGCCTCGTAAAAAAAAAACCTCGCCCACGATACCGAAGCCTGCAAAAAGGAATGATATCCCCAACAAAAACCTGACGGTGAAAAAAGGCCAAGGCCCGAGTTACAGACCTCTCCCAAAAATGTCAGCCATGACAAAAAAGTTTGTTGTCATATTAAAAATATATTATTCATATTAAAATCTTGCAATTATTATAAAAAAAACTTTTTTTTAATTACAAAAATAGAGTACATTTTTTTTTTTACATTTGTATACTAATTGTTTTTTATGTACCTGTATACGCCGACATTATAATGAAAAATACGGATATTGCAATCAAAATAGTTTTAAATTTCATTTTTTTTAAGAAATTACACTCAACTAGTATCTTAAAATGTACGAATTTTGAAATGCAAAATGAAAATTGAACTTTTTGATTTCAAGTTAAAGTCAAACTCCAAAAATGTTAAATACTAGAGCAACAGTGCAATTGCTTACCTTATATATACGGAGATATGTGCTGCACAAAATTGTATATCTCATTTGGTAGGTGAAGGGAGTGTACATTGTTTATTGTTAATATATTATTATTGTGTATGCAGTATGTGTTTTACATTTTGTGTACTATTGTTATAAATATGGTTATAAATGTTTAATAAAACGTATTTAAAACCACAAAATTAATACAGCCAAACTATACCGTTTTTATAGCAACTTATTTATTTAAGTATCACATCAAAATGAATAATATATTATGAGTAATGTTAAGTTTTTCACTCTAGCGGTGTAAAATATGTAGGTCACTCCGTAACAGTTAGATTACAAGTATACAACTCAATCAGTATTATAAAGGACTAGGAATGATTATTAAATACAATGGCCGAAATAAATCAATTTTTGATATTGCCGTGTTTTTTATATATATTTAAGTATACACACGTAGGTTAAAAAACATGTTTTTGTGCTTTGTTATTGGTTTTTATATAAAATGTGTATTCGCTAAAATATTTGTAAAAATATGGTATTACTCGCGATTGAACTAAAACGTTCAATAACGTAAATAATTAAACAAGATATGGCCAAAAAACTTGTTTTCCATAAAAAATAAAAATAAATAACTGCGCCTCAATAAGCTTTTTTTTTTGTCCCCAATATTATGTATCGGTAGGTAAGTCGATAAAATGACAAAACATTATACGAATTTATCGAATTGTATTTTTTAGTTTTTGTATGTACGTACAGATAATTTTTTCGAATACATAAGTAACAAAAATCCGTGTTGTTTATATCCCTTCATTTTGTTTGACGTTGTACAAATATCTAAAAATGGAATACTTCTTTAGCAGCCGAAAAAAATATACTAGGGGTTATTGACTTGAGATTAAAATTATAAGTTTGTTTTGAAAAAGTTGTCAACTTCTGATTTATTATAACCTTTGTATTTTTATTATGAAAATTTATATCAATAAAATTACACACGAAAACAAAATAAAATTTACAATTTTCTACATTTTTTTTTTTTAGTATTTTTTTTAACTGTTGTCATATTTTGTTTTTCTTTTAACTTTTAATATTATGTACATCTTAAAGTTATTTTTCGTTGTTATAATAATTCTAAGTATATAATAAATTAGGATAATAGTATTTATAATAGATTAAGTTAGGTTCAGTTAATATAATAAGTTGTTTAAATAGTATTGTATAAAAATAAAAATTAGAAATTAGCAATCAAATTGTTATTAATCTTTTTCTTCGTCTGATTTTATTATTTAAAATAACGTTTTATACAAAAACATACTCAATTTAGTCTACTAATAGGTGATTTTTCGGAGTCTTGGAAGTATATAGGGGTTGTGCTTTAGGTAATGTATGTGCGTACTATTGAAAATTAAAAAAAATGCCTTTTTATACTAAAAAAGACACACTGGACTATTGCGGCCTGGTAAATTATTGATCAATAAATGTTGTATTTTATCATTGAATAATAACACACAGCTGTTTACAGCCGTGAGGCGAGCTGGTCAGATTTATTGTTACCGGGGTAATAATAAATATTAACGCATATAACAAAACCGTAATGGTATTTTGTACAATGTTGTATAAACTTTTGAGCGAAAACGTGAAAAATTTGTATCGGGTATCGTGTAATACATAATATAATAAAAAACGGCCGTCATATCCGTCGAGGAACGGATCCGTGTTTCTTAATTGGACCGTTTGGTGTTCGAATAACGCGACCCGGCGGCAACCGTCTGCTGCTTATTCTGCGGTTACCCTTCTCTGCCGCCTCGAGCAGTTCGAGTTTTTCGATTTTTTTCCTCGTCTTGGCCGACGGGCTGGTGATCAAGTGGTTAGCAAAAAATAACGACATCACTGATATCAGCGTACCGCAAAATACAATACCGATAATCTGCACCATGGTGAACCCTGTTGGGCATCCGGTCACAAAAAATGCATTATACTTAGTACAAGTCATATATATAATGTCCCGATAGCACCAGTATTCCACCGAGGATACACTTGCCACTACATATCCCAAACAGGAGATGTCCTCGCTCACTCCATACGCAAAACTATGATTCCGCTGAGACTGTTGTTAGTATCGAAGAAACAACACTACTCTTGTGGATTCCTTCCAGACTTCCTACACAGTGCCAGCATGTACTTTCACAATTTACACTTCTGTAAGTGTCCTCTTGGAACCTTGGTGCTATTTAGTGGGCGGTTTTAGTGTGGAAAGTCACCTTCGGGTTTTCTGAGTGTCAACGCTATGCTGACTTCTTCGGATCCGGACGAGTCAAGGATCTTGACGGCGCACGTCCAGTTTCCGTAATCGGACTCGTCCACGCCGTCAATGGTCAGTCCACAGTGGCCCGCCATCAAGCCCTGGCCTGAGTATGCGTATCGCCACGGTCTGCCGGCCGCGGTGGTGGATCGCTCGTCCACCGCGAAACCAACGAGCTGCGGCGTCAAGAAGCGGCAATACGCGATAGGCTGCCGCTCAACCGAGTAACATCCTAGCGTCACGTCGGCGCCTTCCGTTGCGTATAGTTCCGTCTGGTAGGCCGTGATTACCGACTCTGGAACAGTTTTGTCCGGCATTAGCGTGGTTTGTGAATAGCTACGTGCACGGACTGCGCTTGGTATAAGGAGTTATTAGGGAATTTTCGCACAACGTTTAGTGATGTATGGTATCGGCGTTAGCGGAGAACGCTATTATTCTTTAACACGTAGGCGTATATTGGAAAATGGACGTTAGCGTTTTATTAGCTAAGAGATACCATACATAGTTGTACGTTATACAAAAACTCCCTAATGAATTAATTTGTTTACCGGTTACGGTGACGTTGACCGACCCATATACTTCTAGTCTGTCGTTCCGCAATCCTAGGGCGCACAGCCAGGAGCCGGTATCGTACACAGACGCCTCCCAGACGGTGACGTAACACTGGCCGAACGAAAGGCCTTCGCCAACGTAACGATAACGACCGCGGTCGTGGTCGTTGGGCGGCGCGGTCACTGGGACGGCCGTGCCGTTAGGATGCCGCAACCAACAGTAGTCGAGCTCGGCCGGGACAGCGCACTCGACGGTAAACGCGTTGCCCCTGGGCACAGTTAATGGCTTTTTGATGGCGACGGCGAGCGCTGCGTTATTTTTATCTAGAAATATTAACGGCACATAGGTAAGGTTTAATAATAATCAGTCGTTACCCATGATCGTTTTTAAACGGCGGGATATTATTATTTCAATGTTCCGGTTTCTCACCCGTCGCTCGGTCGGTGGTCTTCACAGTTACAAATCCTCCGTAAACCCTATCGGTCATCGAGTTCATGCATTTCCAACGTCCCACTTCCACCGGCAAAACCGGCTTCGGGAACGAAACGCCGCAGTCTCCGTGGTCGGTGCCGTAGTAAGCGTATCTGGCCGTACCTCGGCCGTAGGCCAGCGACAGCGTTTCCGCGTCTTCCGGCAGGGACAACTTGCAGAACAGCGACCGGTTGCCGGCGGACGCACCACCGCCGGCACCTCGCACGTTGCAGAACACCCGCACTTCGGCAGGCGTGTCGTTCCAACCGACGTCCACGACAGCTCCCTCTGCGAACATGACACGTTGAACAATACAATCGATCAATTATATTAACTCTTCACTGCAATCTGCATGTAAGTGCAGATATATTGCAATCATTTGTTGATCATGGTTAATAGTAATTTTGTTATATGTCGGAAAAATAATTACTGAACTATAGATTTCCAAAACGATTTTTATCGATAGAATGCAGTAAACACATAAAAACGGCATATATATATATTTGTATTACAATATTAATCATTGCTAACTTTTTCATGAAAATAAAAAAATTCATGCAGTGAAGGAGTCGATTATTATTACTAATGTTGCGTTCACCTCGGTACGCTTGTAACTGCACCGAATACTGAACTTCGGCGGCCGACTCGGCCGTTACCGACCAGCACGTCCACGTGTTCACATGGTGAGATCCGACGGACTTGACTCGTTCCGTGCATTGGCCAAAGTGACGGGATACGTCGCCCGAAGGACTGGACATGCGGCAATGCAAAGCCGATGGAGGGCCACACGTTACGTTCTGCGCCGTACCGACCGGCACCTTCAAAACGATCTCTTTCGGCCATTTTTTGGCTAAAAAAACAAAACATTTTTTACAATAAATACGAAAATAATATAGGTACGCCTATCGCATAATGTGTGTACTTACAAATCTATATTATGTACACACATACATAGCGGCATGATTAACATAGGGGAAGATATGGAGATATATGTACCCCAAAGACATTTTCTCATGCATCATTGTTTGTACAATATATGTCTACAAAATAGTTATTGAAAGTTTCAGCACCATCAGCAAGCGATCATAGCCACATGCTGAAGGTTAAGCTGATAAAATTCTTAACTCACAGCTCTTACAAACTATCTACTCAAACATGCGTATACTCCTAAAAATATTATGTACGAGTATAATACCAGTTTCTATAATATACAACAACTATTGAACGTCAAGAGAACAATTTCACAAAAAAAAATGGACACTATACATTTTCAATAAGTTAATAAAAATGTGTTTTATCATTTAAGTATCGAATTTTTCCTTTGCTTTCCTTTTGGGAAAACCATAAGATCATTAATATGTCTTATAGAAGGCCATAAAACATAAAACTGATTTATAGATGTCCCGGGTGTAATATACACTGAAACTAACAAGGAATTTTGTCCATGAATACGGATGATTTTCAACTGATAAATTCATACTTTACATGAGACCATTATTTAGATGGACGACAGTGTTGGCTACTATAAAAACAAAAAGGTTAATGTCAACTATTATACATAAACTATTATATTACTATTAGTATTATGTATAAAAATATCCTTTTTTTTTGCTATTTAATTATTTTACTGTTTCTTCTCAAAAACTATTAATAATAACCGTTGGTCCATTTTAACTAATAAGCTTTTTACATTTTCAACGAGAAGTACTTAACGGCGTCTTCAGCGGGCTCTGATTTAATAGCATTTTCGAATTTTGCAGGGTCCGGAATTTCTAAAAATATAATATTTAATAATAATTAATATGGTAAAATATACAGCTCGAAATAAGCAAAAACAATTACTATTAAAGTATTTGTACGAATACTATGTCGTTTGCAAATCGTGTGTGCGATAGTTAATATTATTATCATTTTGCACGGTTTTTTTCACGGGCAACCCAAACGGCTCTCACGTTGTCGACCGTCGCGAATCACTAGAAGATTTAGACAATAAAAAAATCGTTTATACAATTTAATACACGGTATAAGTACCGCGACTCGTAAAATCTTTTTTTTTTTTGAGACTATTCAAAGGATACAAGCGTGCGTGTAGGTATACATTACACAACCAGTGTAAAAGTGCACCGCAGTGCGAGTTGGGGTGTATCATACCTCGTTATCGTTTGATCCCAGGCCAATGTATTACATTATCATAAAGGTTTTTTATGAGCCAAACAAACAAATATATATATATATATTTAAATCTGTGCGCACGCACCATCATCGTTCGAGACGTTCAAAAATAGGAAGAGCGAGTCAGACCGCCGAGGCCAAGATCATAAATAATGTTCCGCGACCAGCCTGTATAATATATCGATGGTGACACGGCAAAGGGGTCTAAGCGACATATTTCATAGGTTTCAGGATAGCCACTAAACGTTTTTTTGTGATTTTACTATTTTTTTTTTTTTTTATTTATATTACATAGATGAAAACGTTAAAAAATTGTTTACAACATTTTCAGTTATCTATTAAATTACGAAAAATACAATATTTAACCGTTTTCTAACCAATAGCATAAGCCTGGTTGCTTAAACCCAAAGTGTCGCTTAGACCCTTTTGCCGTGTCACATGTGATATAATATATACAGGGTGATTTTCTAAAGTCGTTCGCTCGATATCTTAGCTAATATTTCACAAACGTTCGTGTTTTTAAGCCTCTCTCGAGTAAATATTGAATCTTAAATGGTAACGTACGTACTTAATTGACTTTTTAGATTAACAATAATTTACTAAACATTTTTACTGGTCGAGAAACCCCCTGCGAGATTCATTCCCACATTTTCTTATAATATTTCCTTATTTTTAACGATATTGCGGTTGTCCTAATTATCTTAATGTAGTATTCATTCAACCCTTCATTTGACTGTGGTCCGTGCAATTAAAACGGACCGATTCTATTTTCTACAAAAATTATTGGCGAACGCCCAAAACGTCCAATTTGTCATCTTTTAATACACTAAAATGGGCAAATTATAAATAAACTTTAAGAGCCTATAGTATTTATAGATAAAAATGTATTACCTTTTATGTATTTAAAAATGCATAATAATAAGTTTTATAATTAATAACGAATGTAAAATTATTAAATAAGATCGTTAAACAAACAATAATTATTTGCAATTAAATAAAGAATTATAAAAAATGATGAGGATTTTTTCTCAAAATGAGTGCCAAATTCTACTTTAGACGACGATCAATAGCGATAACAGAAAGTCTGAGAAAGTCTATATCTTGAGGCAGAGAAGACTGTGTATTTTTAAATTGCAATCTCCTCTAATTACCTTTTGGGTTCACCAAAAACGAAATCCTCCTCCTTCTCCTCTGAAATGGATGACTGTAACATTTTTTATGTAAGTAGGTACTATTTGTTTTTAAAACTTTTGGAAATCTGTTTACATAAGAAGTCAAAACATAGTGCCGAGTTATATTTGTATACAAAAACATATTATTGTTGTCATCGTGTGTCCCTCCCATTCCCTCTTTGCCTTGCGGCCATGGCCCGATTGTCATGACCTCGTCTCACACAGCCAACGACAACAGCCGCACAACTTTATCCAACAATAATATTATTCTTATTTCCATTGTTGAGTATAATAATGCGAGGAATAGAACATTTTTGCTAAGCTTGGGATGCAACCCAACCTAACCGCGGGTATTGCTGTTATTAATGAACTTACATATTATTAAAAATACCGAAATGACCGTTGACGATCGTTAATATTTTTGAGAAAAACAAACTTATAAACAAGTATACGACTGTGCTTCGACGCTTTGTCGGACCGTAAGAATAAAAAAAAAAAAAAATAATAAAATCACACTGTTTGGCGTACACGAATTTCGACATCCAACGCCGAAAGCTTTTTACCAGCGAGTGGGAGTGAATTCTCACAGAAAGCAAAGGGATGAAAAAAAAAAACCATCCCTTTGGCACACCGTGTAATAGTTACCAGACCAAATCCTATTGATCAGAATTTATCCCGTACAATTACTATGTCTAGACTATATAATGTATTATAATCTATATAGTCTGTTAAAATGTACGCTAAGCTGAGGGCTTATGGACATTTTCCTTAGCATTAACATTTCGAGCGGTGTCATCGAAGCCAGGTTGGAATTCAAGTCGGCCGCATAGGCCGTCACAGAAATTGGAAACGCAACAGCAGCGTCGAGACTGAATAAAAATGAAAAATTAACCACCGGATATGTGCTTAAAACTAAAAAAAAAAAAAGGGGATCGTTGGACAATCATTCGATTCGAACAAATTAAAATGGTGATTAAACAACGTTGTTTTGCAGACTAATTTATAATATAAAATTGTCAAGAAAAACTTTGATCTCGATGGATTACTTTTGCTCAGTAGTTTAGTCATTAGTTTGTGACGGATGAAAGCAAAGTACAAGCTTTACAGCACGTTGATTGAGTTTCATTTTTTTTCCAGGCACAACGTTTTTTTTTTTTTTATGCTTTAATTATTTTCAGACAGCGCATCGTTCTGTTGCTGGATTTAATAGGCTTTTCAATTCCGACCGTATCAGCCAACAAGTCATTTCTCAAATAATTTAGTCAAAACTGACCGCAGCGTTAATTTGTTATGGTCCAAACGAATAAAATATAGTTTTTTTAAAAAAAAATAAACTGTGCCAAATCGTTAGCACATGACTTACTCAAAAACAAATTCTACTCATACGAGAAATTAAATAACGAGAAAAAACACAAGAATATAGGTTGCAGTTGTAAAATAACCAAAACAAATCTTTTATCAGGGTGAAAAGGTATATAAGTGTCCCAGTCCGGCCACATAAACTACTTTGTAAGGCTACTTTGATAAAGGGAATTATGTCCAAAATCGAATTTAAAGCTAAAATTGAATTGCGTGTAATTATAAGTATAGTACTTAGAACTTTTTATTGGTAATTCACTAACGATGTTTTTCTAAAAAAACAGTCATTCGCCTTTTAAGTACATAGCACTAAAAAATTGAATAGAAAAAAGTTTCTTGGTATTTTGAAAAGAAGAAAACTTAAATAGCGTGCACTCTCGAAGAGATTTTTTGCAAGTCAATATTTATGTTTAAAAATTGTTTTTTTTTTTTTGTAATTTATTGGCAAGTTTAAACCAAAAACTTATCATGAAAGTCAAAAAAACTTTTAAGGGGGACATATAATGATACGAATCTTAATCTTTCTGCATAATCATCGAAATAATAATTTCTCTAAAAGTGTCAAAATAAAATGAAAACGTACAGAAATGTCTTTAGGAATGTCAGGGGTTGGAACCTTTTTAGGGGTTGGAACATTTTAGGGGGGAAATAATGTGAGATCGACGAAATATTTTTTTTTTAAGGGAGAGAGCGGAATGTCAACTATTATACCCTTATTTATTAGTCATCACTCTTAAGACCAAGAAAGATCATATAAGTGGGAGTATTACCGATGCACGTGACTTCGTTGGTGGACTGTTCCCGTCGGCCGTCCACGGCGATCGCCTTGAGCGTCCAGTTGCCGGTGCCGGGCTTGACCAAGTTGTCGGCCCGCAGGCCGCACTGTCCCGACGCGTAACCGTCGCCCACGTACACGAGGCCGGTCCGGGCTCCAGCCGAGGCCGTCAGGGTGGCCTCTGTGCCGTCGGGCAACACCGCCGAACAACGGGCCAACGGTCCCAGTCGGGTCTGCCACTTCAGGTACAGCGTGTCGCCGTCGGTCAGCAACACGGATCGGCCGCATAAAACTGATCACAGTACAATAACATATCAATAACAACAATATTATAAGCGTAAAAGCCAACCGCGATTTAACAATAACGACAATATTCGTAATACCATTGATGTTATTTATTACCTTGGACGGAAAAGGTGGACAACAGAAATACGGCGAGCGCGGCCGTACGGTCCATTTGTCGCGAAACTGTAAGCGCGCACTACGGCCAGCGGCTGTAAACGTGGACACCCAACACTGGTGTCCCGCCGCCGCCGCTGCCGCCGTCGTCCCACCGGCCGAGTGGGAGATTAAGGTTTTTATATTTAGAACTTGTCTAGTCGATTAACGTTTGTCATATTTTTTTTGGCACAGGCCGTCGATAGCGAGCCGAGTTTTTGCAGCGTGTCAAAAACGGCGAAAATATTTTCAAAAAGAAAAAAAAAACACAGACAACAATTGTTTATATATATATATATATAGGAACAACGAAACGTGTATATTTTGTTTTCATGCATTTTACATGTACAAAGGTAAACACCTACTTAGGTAAAACACTACAATATGTAAATTGTAATAATAATAATAATGTTATACATAGTAATGACAATGATATAAGTAGTGTAGAGAGAGAGAGAAAAAGAGAGGGAAGAAAAATGAGTATAAACTTAAAGTATTTTTATATAGTGTAAGATAAGAATATAAAAGTATGTATGTACTAAAAGCGTAAAAACTTTTGCTTAAGTACACTGTGACAATACAAAGACAAAGCATATAATAATAATTAATATTATACGAATATTTTAAAAGTGCACATATAATATTATAGTATATAACACGAGATTCGCAACTAATAAAATAAGAAAAAAAAAACAATTAAATACAAAATAATCTTACAATATTCTACTTAATATGGATAATACATCAAAATATAATGTTATATAATGTTTTCTACGGGTAACTGTATACAAAACGATAGTAATAATACATAAACTATAGTTGTTTCAAGTATTATAAATTATATTATATTACAATATAAAGCGAAAAAATGCATTTATTTTGTCTTAAAACGGAATAAATTTTCGAGTTGATGGTTTTTGTTTTATAACCGTTGCCTTGGGCGTAATTTGCCTGGAATGTTTAATTAGACAAATAGCGCATAACGCGCAAAGATAAAAAACAGAAAAAATGTTTACAAGCTTAACTCGATTAGCTGGTGTTTTTTTTTTTTAATTCCGAAACACCGCAAAACCGACGTTACACAACAAACGGAATACATCCGCATAAAGTTTTTGGTTCCAAATTTTGTTTATTAATAGGAAAAATTTAAGGTTACAATAATAATAGTTTTGTAATAAAAATCTAATGAAATCGGATGGTCGAAAAATGCAATGGTCGCGATTTGGGTGTAAATATTAAAAAACAAACAACAACCCAATATTGTGCACTGCCCTCGATTAACGCTCTAATACTCAAACCACAAATACACACACAAAAGTATACAATAAAATATACAGTTATATAAAATTATCTAAACGCTAGTGACGAATAATATATTGTTATTAAGATTAAATAATTATCGTATGATAATATACTATATTTACTAAATTTATCACTCGATAATTTACAAGACATAAATTATGTAAACATAATGAGCAAGTAAAAAAAAAAAAAAATGGTTTCTAATGGAATCGTTAAGCTATCACAGAAAATATAATATGCGGGGGCGCCAAAGTAATAATACAATAAGTATCGTCAAATGTAATAAAACAATCATGAAGCGTGTCGATTAAGTAATTTGAAAAAAATCTTGGAAAGACTGAAATTACCAAAAGCATGCTCGCGACATCGATTGGACTTTTTAACTAATTGTAGACAATCGGGTGGTTTTTTTTTTATAATTTTATAAACTGTACAAATTAATGATTAATGCGTTTTTTCTCGAATTATTTAACACAATCGTCAATTGTTGACAAACCGAATTGTTCAACTTTACAGCACATAATATAATATTTATTATCAATGATTTGTCGGTTTAATTAAAAAAAAAAAAAAATTGTACAATTATTATGATTGTCAATGAGTTTTATTTTTCGACCAGAGGTCTCGTTCTTAGGGTTAATTTTTTTTTTCAATAAAAAAAAAAATGATTTACTGTTTGAAAAATTACCAGCCGGACGCGGCCTGTGACAAACCAATTTTTAAGCATTTTTATTTTGACTACTAACACACTTGGCGGAGGAAAATCATCGTTTGGAAAATCATATCTAAAAATACACAGGGGCACGTTTACGCGCTTTGCAAAAAGAGGAGGGGAGGTGCTCCTCCCCCTCCCCCCGTCCGGACCCGGCGCTTCCGTTCAGCCCGAGAACGGAACGGACGGGAATGCCACATACACACTACACACTCAGCAGGAGCAACTGAACTCGACGTGGGACGAATTGTAATTAGTTACATAACAAAACATACACAATAGGTACAATAATAACAATAAAAATAAAACAATAATTATTAGAGAGACGCTATACTGGAGTTCACGTGGTAACCGTGGTGGAGATCAGCGGAAGAAGCATTGCGACAGCGGAGGCCAGGGCGACGACGGTGAGCGCGGTGGCACGCACGACGGCCGCGCCGCCGCAAGCCAACTGGTCGCGGTGGTACGAGACGGTCAGCGGCACGTCGGACGGTGGCTTGCACCTGTCGCCCGGCACGGTGAACCTGGTCTCGTCGCACAATTCTTCGCAAGCCGGACACACGATCACGCCTTTGTGCAGCCAACCGTTGGCCACCAACCGCACGGTGAGCTCCTGCCCGGGAAAGTAGCAAGTGAACGTGTGGTTGGACACCTGAGAACAAGCACGTAAAATAATACATTTAACGTTTTGTACAAAATCGCATTAAACAAATGTTTACGATTATTACTAAGAGGACGCCACTCTGACCATTTATTAAGGAGTTGTGTGTAGGCAATTTTTTTTTACACAATCTTAAAGCAAAGGTTAAACTGCGATGTGTAATTATTAGTTCACTACTAATTAGAACTCTTTTTTTGGCAGTTGAATTATTTTTCGGACTATTACAGCATCCTTGATAGAGATTTTAAAAAAATTGTTTCAGAAATAACTGTCTCCGCTTTCTCGATACAGCTCTACCAAAAGTTGTTTGACAGGAGAGTTACTTATGTCGTCTGAAAATTAATAACTTTATCTGTGTCGCCTCGACGAGATTTTTATAGTAACTCAATTGTTAAAGCCAAAATTAGTACTTAAAAAAAATCTCCCTTTTATACAGTAATCTTTAGAATGTATCCTTGAATACATCCTCGAGTGTATAACAAATATTTTAAATACAAAAGCAAATACTTTCCATTCAAAGGAAATGTTTTTTTTAAATTGTTTGCTAATGTTTAGGAATTTCAGAGTAAAAATAACTATAATATATTTTGTCAAATACAAAAAAATCAATCGCAATTTTATTATTGCACTTGTTTTGTGATGTGTTGAATTATTTCTGACATTTTCTGAAATAACCATGTTGTTTATATGTTAAAAATAAAATACTAAGATTTAGTCAAGCCTGGTAAAAAAAAATCAGCTTCGCGTTGCCTTAATCTTAAGCTGTTTTTAAATTATAAAATATTTTGAAGTGTTCTTTCATAAAATCTCCTACTATTCAACCAAAAGTCCAAAATTTGACAGTAAAAAGAAAATATTGTTGTCAAAGGTTTCAAAGGAAGTAATTTAGCGTGAGAAATATTGTCCGTTTCGCAAAACGTTTCCCGGTCTTTTGTGTGCTTTCTGCAAAACAAAAGATTAACGTAGAAGAGTAACTGGATTTGCTTTAACTTACCACGGTTAGATCTGAATAATTGAAAGTTTTCCGCATAAAAATAAATTACTAATTTGATTCTAGTAAAACCACCGCTATGCGAGTAAGGTTACGAATAATTTGATTTAGGAAAAATATAAAACAGAATACAAATGTTTAAGTAAAAAAAAGTTAGCGCAGTGGGGGGTTTGGGGCAAAGTGGGGGTTCTCCTTTTTGGAACCAGATTCTACTTGTGACAATACCTAAATAATATACCACACAAGTGTAAAAGTAATTTTAAAGTTTTTGACAATCGATGTGTTAACTTTTAGGGTGTTTTTCTCGACGAGGCAAAGCTAAAAAACGTCTTGGCATTCAGCAAAAAGGTTTCCAACACACTTACGACTATGTGAAGTCTTCCGTTTTGACAGGTATATTCGTAACAACCCGAGCCCCAGTGTTGCCATTGTCTGACCTGTTTACACGTCTGTTCCTCCCACATCTGGTTGGTGTGGTCAAAGCACTTGGAGTTGTCACCGTACACTTCCAACGCAAAGTTTTTGTCGGGGTCTGCAAACATAAACATTTATGTATAATATTACATATATTTTACACGCATAAATTTAAATATTTACTTATAATTTCAAATCATTTTTTTTTATATTTATTTATGTACGTTTCTATTTTCCTTCCGAGCCCCGTGTAAAAAACCAAATAAAAAGACCCTTGATTTATATACCGCGTGACTGTGTTATTTTAACACGCTCTACGCCGGGTTTTTCTTAAAATTATTGTAATTCTGTAGGTTTTCTTTTAAAAAAAAAAATATTTTTGTTTATGCTATACTGTAAATATTAGACAGTACTGCCACTTTTATCTTGTTTATTGTTTTCTAGGGCTTAATAAACTTTTAAAACTTAAACGGTAACATATCATATGTTTAATTACATTTTTAAATTAAGAGAAACTCGCTACAAAATGTTTTGAATAAATATAAACAAAAATCATCTCCAGTATCGTCCAATGTTGAAAACCTTAGGGGCGTCTATGAGTTAACGGTATGGATACTTACGAGGGTTGTTTTCTGGATACTGACAATGAGAGCCCCTGATGACGACGCTCTTGGACCGCCAAATGAACTCTTGTATGTACGGACAATAGTCGGCCAAACTAACTGAACCGCCGTAATACGCTTCCCGGCCCGGAGTAACGTGTGGTATGGAGTCGAAATTCTTAAACAAATCGTCAAGAAAACTAGTTAGCCAACTATAAATATATATTATATTATAATAATAAAGCGCAGTATACAATTTTTATAAATAATAATTTGTTTTTGTAAATTAGCCCCAAATTGCCATGTCACAATGTTTTAACAGGCGTCTAGTATAGGCAATAAGTTAGGCTTTCGAGTAGCACAAATTGTATTATTACTACAGAAACGGCGAATGGATACTCATACTTTTATTATAAATCGAATCATTTCAGACGAGAAGCAATCATATTTTTTTTTTTTACTTTTGTTTTTTATTATACTTAAAAATATAGTACACTACAGTATTACAGTGTACAATTAAGGAATTTTCAATATTCATCGTTTGCTTTCAAATCATAATTATCGACTTATGCATAAAACGTTTTGAATTTGATTATATATTGCACTTATAATTAAAACAAATTATTCAAAAATATTCATGATCAAAAAAAACAAGTAGTTGCAATATAATAGAAATTATACAATACAAATGGTTTGAACAACCTTTATAGCAATCCCAACGCATTCAGATGAGTATAAGAGGTTACATTTCCAGTCGAAGGATTTTAAAATTAATTCTTGTAAAACTAAATTTATTTAAAATAAGAAAAACGGAATTTGAATTGTCTCCACCCGTAAAAGCTTTGTAGTTTTATTGAATATATAAACGTCACAAGTACAAAGAAAAGTGAGACAGAGTATAATTTTTATCAAACGAACGTCGAGCGTTAATTAATGGTTTTTTTTTTACGACCAAGTAATTGTATAGTTTTAACCGATGGCATTTGTGCACAACTTAAAAGCCCATTGAAATGAAAAATAAAATAATCAATAATCTTTCAAATTAAAAAAATAAATTATGGCGAAGAACGCTATTTTGCAATCGCCCGTCTGATTTTTAAAATAAAATTGATTTGAAATATTAGTGTGATAAATGATAAAAGAACAATTTCAATGCGAACGAAAATATAAATAAAAATATATTTGTATATTAGTTTCGATACGAAGTTGAGAAGATGTATTTTTTTTTTACTTAAACACATCTGAAAAAAAAAACGTTCAACACTGAAAGCGGCAGTTTCCGTTAAAAAAAACACTTTCCATTAAAATTAATTGTTTTGAAAGTTCTTTCAACGCTCACCACTCGATTCGCCATCGTTGGGTGAACAAATAATTAATAATAATCGATTAAAAACAACAATCAATACAGTGCGGTAACTATGAGATATTTAATTAAATCCGTATAAGTATTTTATGAACCCTTTACAGGAGAACGCCCACGTGGGACTTGCCGAAAATCATTTTACGTCATACGAAATAAAAATACATCATTGTAAATTTCAACCAAAAACAACCCGAATAAATACAATAGTAATAAGTTGTATACTTAATCTATTATAGATTCGTTTTGATTTGTTTGTTTTGGATGTTTATATACGACGTTCGATAGTGTGGGAGAGCGATGTTTTATTTTTGATTTTAAATTTATACAAAAACAAGGGGTTAGGTTAGGTTAACATAGGTTTTCGTATATTATACATAATGTTTTTTTATTGTCATTAAACGCTACCTAGTCCAATCAAATGGCGTTGAAAAAGGGCTTAAAGTGGAACTTTCTAGTGGAATTGTTTGTAATGGCTTACTTGGTGGTTATTTGGAGTTGACCAACAAAATTTTCCACGGCAAATATGAAAAATCATCAAAAAACGATAGAAATGTTGTTGGTTTTTGGCTAATTACTTAAAAAGTAAAATCTTTGCGCAAAAGGTAGCTCTACACAAAAATAAAGAACAGAAAATTACCTACAATTTATGTTCTTATAATGTTTTTGAAAAAACGCCAAAAATCAGCAATTTTTGGGAAAATAGCGAAAACACAATTTTTACCGCTCTTCCGTTCATAACAACAGAAGTGAAATATTTAGGTATTTATGAATATAATTTTAAAAAATCATCAAAAGTACCACTTTTAAATATACCTATTTACATAATTTTTTTAGCAAAAAAAATCTCATTTTATATTGAATACTACCATTTGACTGGACTAACACTCAAAATGAAGAGTCGCGACGTGACGTCGAAAATACTAAAACAAAATTTAAAACAAAACTAAAACAAAACTATTTTACTTTCCCGATTGGTTTTTCGGCGAGACTAGAACATAATTTACATATTTTTCTTTTGTCTTCTTCTCCCAGCTAATTGAGTAAAGTTTAGATTTTTAATATTCTTTCTTTTTTTTAAAGCTGGATTTTACACTAACTTTGTCAGTATCAATTTCAATTACGTCAGACGCGTCTCTTCTTATTTGGCGTTTCCCTTAACATTAATTTCCATTATCTTTATTTTCTCCGACAGTCTTTCATCACTCATCCGTATCCTGTCCTTATAAACTTGGCCAAAAGACCTCTCCTCTTTCTCTCTCTCAATCTTTCTCTAGGATAGGCACCAACCACAGACTAGTATAATTAACTATTTTCTCCGCTCTACGGAAAAAACATTGATAGTCACGGATATGTTATTTCTTATCACTTCTCTATCGTTTATCGCGTGAACGTGTAACGCAAAAATGGCGACATGAAATTTTATATTGTATCCAGCCCAATAACATCATACCCATATTGTTATAGTATAAACACTGATTCTGTGCCTAATTATGTCATGTAAGCAAGATGAACGTAACCCTGCTGTGGGAATCGTTATTAATTCATGGACATCATCGTTCAGATACTACTCGATGTAACAGTGGATTATCATTATTTACCTGGTAGAAATTCGGTAACGGCTGCACGTGTTCGACTAGATTGCAAAGGGCAACCGAGCTCCGGTCGTCGGTGCACTCGGTCTCCAGAGGGTCTCTCTTCACTTTGTTGCAAAACGGATGAATGGACTGTCCTTTGGCGCGTTTCATGTCCATCCAATGTTTGCAGCTTTTCGTCACAAAGTCACAACCTAAGTTCTTGCCCCAACTCAGGTCCTGAGCCAGCGAGTAGTTGGCTCTGTACCAGCCGGTGTCCTCCATCAGCGCCAGGGTCAGTCGCGAGTACACCGGATTCTGGGTGTGAGTTCCGGTCATGGCTTCGTTCTGTATTACAGGGAGAAAGACAAAAAAAAAAAGATTAAAATTGATTTGTTTAGCTATTTTATTAGCTCAGCTCAACATAGGCACACCTTGTTAGATTTTTTTCTTTTAATTTTGTGGTACAGGTAGATCGAAGAAGTGGACAGACGTGTGTGGAATGAATAAAGAAATGACAATGGATAGAATTTTGAGAAAAGAACTTTGTCGAAGAAAGATTTGGCCCGTCCGACCTCATTTGTACAGCGAAGAAGAACTCCTCAAAAAATAAAAAAAAAACGGATCCACGTGACCATGATTTTTCACATAAAACATGTAGAAGTTTATCATAAGTCTTTTGAAAGAGAAACTTTGGAATAAAGTTAAAACTATAAACTTAAGCCTATCAACGACGTCACCCGAATAAAATAATTCTGAAATATCAAACCAGCTGTGACCATGAATGAGTTTTGTAACGGACCGAATACCAATTTAATTTAAAAACTATTCTTTTATTTTTATTTTAACATTTTTATCTGTTTCTCTAAAATAAAGTTCCTTTAAATTATTTTAAGTAGTTTTACTGATATCATTCTGTGATTACTATACAATAAATGTTCCACAACAGGAGATTTGTGCACAAATTTTTTTTAATGTTTCTTTAAGTTATTAAAATTGGTATTTTCTACAAAAGAAATTTTGGAATAATCTTTGATTGCACATACATCATTAACTGAGTTACTTTTTAAAACAAATTAATTGTTCTAAGAAAAATAAAATATTGAATCCATTGAAAAACGTTATCAATAACCTCTTTGATAGTTTGATAAGAAAATGAGCAACCCAAAGTCGATTTATAAATCTACCTTAGAACAATCAACACGGGAAAAAATTCAATGGTACACCAAGCTGTACAATAAAAAAAATCAAACTTTCATCATTTTGGAGAGCTTGTTTCATATAAAAACTCGTGTAATTTCAGTAACTAGTCTGCCTTCTGATGTTATTAATTTTGTGGTGCTAATTAATACAAAATTTGATAACAAGTCGTCCAAGCAAGTTGACTGAACTATTAATTCTAAAATACTGTACTCTGTGTTAGCAGTGTCAATTATGATATGATTTATTCTATGCACTGTGCTAAATAATTCTCGTGACAGACAAATATAAATCATGATTTGGCGAAAAACAACCAACACGTAATCCTTTAATAAATAAACTATAAAGGGCCGTTATGTCCTCTGAATGTATTTCTAACGAGGAGGGATATAATATGCATTGTTTATTGGTTACAATTAGTCAATGTCAGTGTTTATATTTCATTAGTAAAACAAAATTAGTGCAACAACTCGATTAATTATTTGGAATTTACAATCATTTGGTACTTGTTCACCGATAAGTGGTAAAATAACGACGGCAAATCGGATTTAATCATTAATTATTTCCGTTATAACAACAATGCTATCATACACAATACACACATTATTGTAAGCGTTCTACGTACAAATTGTTAGAAATTGGAATTTATTACCTAAGTCAACAAAATGTTGAAAATAAACAATTTGCTGCATATAAAGAACGATGGAAAAAGCCAGCACGGTGGAGATGGACAGGTCACAAATCTAATGGAATTATTATTACTACAAGTGATTAAAAAGTTGACTAAAAGTGATTAAAAAATGTGTTGTACAAACTATTCAATAACAAATCAGTTTATAGATAATAAGTCGTGTTTATAATGGTGTTTTTTAATTTTTTAAGTTTTTCTTAATTAAAAAATATAAAACTGCAGAATTAATTAATTTTGTATTAAAATTTTTTTTTTAAGTTGAGAATTAGCTATTAAACATTTTAATAATCGATTGGAATATGTATAAAATGTTAAGAAAAATTAAAAACCGAAGTACCTTTTATGTATGATTTGTAATCTACAAACTTGCTACGCGAAGAAAACGGTCCAGCGGTTTAACGTTATCGTGATTTCAGACACAAAAATTAAAAAAAAAAAAAACATATCATTATAAAAACAAACTTCTTAGCTCTGCACCATATTTAATATACACGTTTTTGTAAAATAGCCTAACAGTATTTTAGTTATTGTCAATGAGTAAGCGATGAGTAAAAATTATAAAAAAGGAATTTTATTTGTATACGTTAATGGTTAAGTAAATACCAACCAGCTCACGACTTAGTTAGATACTGCAAAAACTAATTTTAAAGTAATTAAAGCGATTCCCCTTAGGTATTTTTAATGTTAAGCGACGTTTGATTAATACCAGTAAAATGCTGTCTCGCAAATTACAAAAGTCTAGGAAGTTTTGAACACCTCAGTTTCAAATTGAATTTTATCGAAGCAGAGTATGTGAAGGGATTACTAAAAAGTAACATAATCAGCAATACAATCAGACGATATCTCCCGAGAATGAAAAATAAAACCTATAAAAGTTCAAGTACCTGTAGTTTATACAGAGAAAGTTTTTCATTAGTTTCTAGAAGAGGTAGTATTTTACTGGAATGGGTACAGCTAAATTACATTTCCAATGCACAATAAAAAATAACCGTTATAAACATTAACAATACGACACCTTCTAGTGTTTTTATTAAATATTTAATAAGGAACTTAAGTTTTTTTAGTCGTTTGTTGCACTTATCCATTATTATTTATTATGTTAGCCAGAAAATCAAGTGATTTGTCGATAAATACAATTTTTTTTTAAATATAATTTTTAAAAACAAGTCACTGAAAGTTAATATATTTGCTCATACACAGTGAATTAGATTAAAATTAATTATAAATAAATACCTCGAATATTCTTTTTTCCCAATGAGTCAACGCGGTGCCGTCTTCTCCTTGGTCTTCCAACTCGGCACCTTCCAAGTACGAACAGTTGAAGTGTCTTCTTACTTCTTCTACCACTCTTGGCGTGACCATCATTTGCACTTCTTTGTCAACCACACCGCCATGCACGGTCCAGTTGCGCCTCACTACCGTCTTGATTACTTTGTCGCTCCACTGTCTTGCTTGAAGTCTGCCAAACAAATACGGATTGATAGATTAATTATAAATTATAATATGTCACTGTTCAAATGATGCACGTCATCATACGTTGGCGACCCCTAGACTTATTTGCAATTTATTAGGAAACTATACAAATACATTGAAGAACATACATACTCTTGAAAGACCCTCGTGGCTAAACCCGATGAATAACATAGAATATGAATGCCAAAGTTTGTACGGTTGAAATTTAATGGCCCTGGACGCTGTTAAATAACCGTGGCTGATTTTGAGAAACCACGATGGTGTGCGCGGTATTCAAGGATATGTTTAAGACACGGTTACGGTTATTTAAACTATAAACGGTAAAATTCCGGTTCAAACAACGTTTGGCAAAAACGAATAGCTTGAACTTTTATTTTATCGCACATTTCCGACGTTTCCCATTATCCAAAGTCTCTAGTTTTTAAATTATGTATTTATCGTATCGAAGAAAAGGGCGGGTAGATACAAACAAGGCAATAATAATTTGTCATAGCCATACGAATAAATAAAATTATAATTGTCATGAAAATTGGCAATTGTAATACTCTTGAGATTGGTTTCTCCTTATAGTTTGTTGCATTTATAAATTAAATATATATTATAGATATAATATAATATAGCAAAAGTGTATTGGGTCAAAACATGTAAATTTTACACGAGAAAAAAAATTATTTGCAAGTTTTGCAACATTTTTTTTTAAAAAATACCTTTTACGTAAACTTTTTAAGTTAGTAATTTCGAAAAACAACTTTTGAATGGGGGAATTAAAGGAAAAACAAGTAGGTGTCAATAAATGATTATTATTCAAGGCGGATATTATTACAAATAATATTTTGGCAAATCACTTTTAAAAATATTACTAACACTAAAAAGAAAGTTTAAAATTAGTATAAAGTAAGTATAAAATTGTTTTTGTAATTATTTGTATAATTACTAAGATCATCAGCCCGTGAAACGAATGAATAGTACGCATGATTTTTAAAACAATAAAATGTAGTACTTTCTTATAATTAAAAAAAATATAATCTACTTTTTTTTTTAATCTTTATTTATTTAACGAAATGCAAATAACTTTCGGAAGTTCTCTATATCAATACCTTAGAGCTGTATTACAAATTTAAAAAAAAATGATTTTGTATCACTTACAATACAAATATTAATTGCATAAAAAAGTAGGTATATGTGTCATATTATTCTAAATTGAAATTTAACTTATTACAAGTTTATAAAACAAAACAAGTTAAAAGGAATTTTTGAAGAAAAAAACCAAAAATCGTACATATTCATTTGCATTTTTGAAAATTGAAAGTAGCACAGACATGATGAGGTTATAGACATATTTCATTTTGAATATTACTTGAAAACAAATACTTTAAAAGAAACGCATTGATATTATCAAAAATACGTTGTTTACCCAACTACGCTTCGGATATTTTAGAATCTAAGTATAGTGAGTACACTATTTTTTCATATGGCAACCGCAGGTATCGTGAAAAAATATATATATTTCTATGGGCGTATTATTTTATTTTACGTATCGTGACCGTGGCCGCTTTTCGTTTTGAGTTTATTCGAGTGAAGAACTTTTAATATATCCTATATCATTGTTTTTACTTAAGTCGTGTGGGTCTATCTGAAAGCCTTGACGCACCTATTGTTTACAGGCTCGTGCGTCCCGGCAAACTCGGTGGCTAATACTCCTGACAATACTGTGAAAGGATTTTGTGCTCATTGTAAAGCTTTGTAACTTAACCTCATATAATATTAATATACAAATGGACATTTTTTTTTATTATTAACTATTTGATTTATGTATTAATTCAAAAACCTACTATAAATTTAAAAATGTCGGCAGTCCAATTTTGAACGCAAATTTTTTTTTAACCATGTAATCGTTGCGTATTTCATAGCCATCAGACTAGCAATACACACACACACAATATAACATTAAAAAAGGCCGAGTCCGATCCCGCTCAAGAGTGATCATATTATTGGACTTGTGCCGTGTTGCAACTTGCACTCATATTATTAGTAAATAGATAAGGCGATGGACAGTTACTTTTCGTTGAGTCTGGGCTTGCCGTTGTCTTCTCTGGGCGTGAGCGGGAAACCGTTGGCGTCGCGGTAGAACGCGAACAGGCTAACGGAAAATCCGAGGGCGTGCAATATCTCGTGCTTGACCGTGGACAGGAGCACTTCCAGTTCCTGCGGCTTTGTGCTAATGCTTTCGGGACAGAGGTTAGCGTGGCCGGCAATGGGACGGTCCAGCGACGACTCCTGTTGACAGTGGGCAGCGTAGGCGACCGTCAGTCCTTTGTGACACCTTTCCGTCTCCATGGCGCTCACGTAGAACACAAAGTCGGCCCCTTCGATGCCCACGCCCGACTGGGAAGTGCCCGTTCCGCAGTCCATACCGGACGCGTTGCAAGTCTTGCAGGCCTACGGAAAGCAATGACCAATAACCATAATATTATTACATGTATATATCAACGTGTCCCATAACGCCATTTACCGATTGCAGTGTTTAAATATATTATTATTTACACGTATTCGGGATAGTGCGGTCAATCATTTAAGTAACACAAACGATATATGTAATTGTATACTTTGTAAGTACTCGAAAATCATCATACCTCCAAGTGTTCTTCGGGGACTTGAACTTCGCCGCACATCGTCCGATCCTCGCATGCATTTTTGCAATAAGGATGCGGATCGCCTTTCCGGTAAAACACTTGGTTGTTAACACATTTCCTGCAAGCAAACACATTCGGAAAATTATTTTATTAGTAAATTTAAATCGTCAAATCATAGAAACGAGTTTTCACGTATCACTATGGTTTACTACGCTATTACTCTTTTAGTTTCGTTTTACTAATAAAATAATAATAGTAGCTATTTCATTATATTGTTCTATTTAGTATTTACAACGAATTTAATTGCCATATAAATCTTGTTTCTAATTAAAACTAATAAAAGAAGCTTTTAAAAGTTTTAATGGTTTACACAAAGGGGTTAGCTTTGGATGCATACCGACAAACTCGCTTGTTAATTTCTCGGCTTGAGAATTAGAGACTTGTATTATAGCGCTTTACTTTTAGTTTACGTTTTTATCCTTTGTATAATAATAATAATAATAATATATATATAATATATATATATATATATATATAGATAATTATAATTTTAAAAACTGTCAACGCACGCAGTTGGAATATTTAAAAAATACTTTTAAATTAAAAATTCATAGGTTTGACGTCACTTAACGTCAAGTCTCAATTTACTCTAAAGTTAAAAGAAAACATTATTTTAAGGGGAAAGGTAATTAAATTTAAATATTGACAGAGATTTTTTCAAGTTTCATGTCATTTTTTTCCCGTACACCCGTCTTTAATTTTTTTTAATAGAAAACGCTAAAAGTAGGATTTATGAGTTCCCGATAATCGTAATAGGTACATTCATTCAGAAATCCGAATATATTAACTTTTAATCTAAATAAAAACAACCTATAATTATAGGTTATATATTATTATATATTAACTCCATGACCGTTTTGATATTTATTCATAAATAATTGTATGAGCTCAGTAGTCCTTCAAAATCCTCGTGAACAACAATATCGGCTGCAATACTGATTATGGATATTACTGCCTGGATTAACTGAAAAGTTATTATTGTGATTTTTTTTACGACAAAATATCAAAAAATAAAAACGATAGAACAATAGTAGTTAGTAATTATCGTACCATAATAATATTATAGTAATTATTGAAGAAGTATATAGTTGTTGGCCTATAAACAGCCTACGCGCATTGTCTTTACATTTTAATCAATATAAACAATCTGATTTTCTATTACACAAGGTGTACAACAAACCTGATGTCGGTGCATTATGGTGCAAATGCTTAATCTGTTTGCGTAACCGTTACAATTACCATTCCTACCTACTAGAGATATTATTGAGTATACTTTTTGTCGTTAGTAGAGCTATGCGGTGATGTCATATTAAAATATGTGTAAGTAATATATATATAAGTGACTTTTTATCGTGTGCCAGTCAATATATCAATGTAACAAGAAAACTTACCTGTTTAAGCGAATGACATTTTCGGTTTTTCGTACCATCAGCGCCTGTTCCCAAAACCGCACAGCTTCCGGCAAAATTGTATTCTGAAAAAAAAAACAAATTATTTAATCGATACCCAACTAATTACTACAGGCGAACACCTTACGATTAATAGAGCACGTATTGGTCGGTCCCTAACAACGACATATTATGCTATTATTATACTATAATCCATTGGACAACAGTAGGTATTATTCGTCTTGTTTTATTATATTTAAACGGTCAACACTTTCTAATGTCCTACGGTTAGACGAGACACGTGTTACGCACGTTTAGAAAACCGTTATTACTCATATTATATTATCATGATCGCATGAGTTTATCCCACGTTTTTATCGTACAAGCGTTGGCTGCATGTGCTGTTAAATGTTAAATAGCAATAAGAGTAATATGGGATTGATAAATTTAGCATTTGAAAATTGTACTTGCAAAGAGCTTGTGTATGTGCCCGTCACGGTCTATGCGTTTTGGAAACGTTAAAAAAGACATAAACACAAACGCAGGAATTCGATTGTCGAAAGCTTGTGACTTGTGACAATCATTTTGACTCGACGTTTTTTCCTCGAGTATGCTCGGGGAGAAACCTGTGCAATATTTATTTAGCTTTAATCCGCAGCTGGGAATGTATTAATTTTACAACGTTGCGTTTACCTTAGGTATGTATGTATTATAATAGTAACGAGTGAGCAATTTGAAATTAAAATCATAAATAAACAGGAATTTGTTCGATTACGTTAACAATGGCTCATAACGCAGATTATGTGTAATTATGCATTTCATTTACATTCCTATCGACTATATTTATTTTATGAGGTTTATGTAAACTATATTAACATATATATTATAAATATGCAACGCATAATAATGATCGCCTAACTACTATACACGGTTTCAGCTATTTTTTTACCTTTCCTTTTTTGATTTGAAAATAGGATGTCAGTTTATGAGAACTACTTTAAATGAATCGGTGACCGAGTGGGTTAATGAGATCGTTGGTTTAAACATTGATCATAATAGCCTGAGTACAAAAAATAAAAAGGTGACAGAAGATATTGGATTATTTTTCTCATAATTTCAATGTCCTGGATACATCAAAATTATTGCAATGTATTAACTTTTTGTTGTAAATAATATTTTGTTATGTGAAAACAGTCTATGACTACGAGTATGTAGTTTCGACAAACTAAACCATAGGTGAGATTGAACTGTTTTTGAAAATTTAATAGGCCCTCAAAATGTATAAAAAAACATGATATGATATGTACAAGAACTACATTCTATTACAAAAGCAACTATTGAATACTATTCTATTACTAAAGAAATAAAAAATTTATAAGTTCTCACATACATGTGGTAAGATAACGTTAATAATTATTGATGATTATAAATAAGTAAAATTCATTCAAAAAACCTGCAAATATTTCCTTTTAAAGTTATATTATGTTCGTCTTTTGACGTCGTCGGAAAGTCGTTTCTTCAGTGAATATAACAAAGGATATTAAATAAAATTACTTATACATATAGTGATAAAATAGATGTACTTATATATTAGAACAAACATCACTTTCACTAAGTCCTATACTAATAGTAATCCGAGGCTTTTTATTAACGGCGGAAGTTGAAAATCCAGAAAGCCAGTACAAATATTGGTTTATCGTTCAATATCGCGTTAGTAAAGAATAATAGAGTTCTGATTTCATTAGAGATTATTACGGCAGCAAAGAATTGCTCTTATTTGAAATCAGACGAGCTCACTAAAATCGCCTACTCTAGTATATTATTCTTGATAGGTTAGACCATACGCATGCAAGTCATGCAAGACGAAGAAAAAAAGGCTTTTAACAGACATTTGTTTCATAATCAACATGCTTATTTTGTATCCTCAAGCCAAGGATGGACAATAATAATAATAACAACAAATAAAGCATTATTTTGAATAGGTTTTACAAATTATTTATAATTTTCGTTTTAAGTAGGTTAAAGTTAATAACTAAAAATGTATTTAAATGCATTTTTATTTTATGAACAAAAAAATGTATATACAATTATTAGTATTGGTACTTTATTGAAATAAAAATTAAATTTGATTTACTATTTGCGTTTTTATTAAAATTAGAGTTTCGAATTTGACATTATATAAAATAGTGTCAAAAACTTTTATTTTGCTACTAGTACCTTTATAATATAATAATAATAATATGACTGGCTATTATGTTTTACCATCATATGTTGCATATTAATCAACGGTCGTGACGACGGCCGTTGTTTTGTTGTAACCATCAACTTGTCTTAATTTTACAGTGTATTTGTTTTTGTGTCTATCAAATTTAAATTGTTTATGTAATATTTTTCTTGTTTTCTATTTCCCTTGTAAATTAATAATTATCAAAAATCATGTCTCCAAAAGCAGTGTCTTTTGCGTACAATGTACTTAAAGATGGACTTTCAATTGGAATATATAGTCTTAGACTCTATCGCGGATACCAAGCCCGAAGCGAATATTGAAATAGCCAATGTCAACTTCAAACCTACCTACCAAGCCAGCGGAGACGTTGCCGTCCAACCCGTGGATTTTTTTCTTATTGTTTTTGGTATTACGCTCATGTTGGTTGTATCCATTATTTTTTATATTCTTCTGTCATAGTTACTTTTGTATACTTCCTTTTGATTGTTACTCTTTATTGCCTTTTTATTGCTCGGAAATTTTTCAAGCCAATATTGTTTAATATTGTATGTTTATTGATGATTGTTTATTATTTGACGTATTTCGCTATTTTTATGTATGTAATTGCTATTACTTGTCACATTATTATTTTTATCACTTTAGTTTGTCTTAATTATTGCATTTTGATTTCTTATTGTATACTTTTGTTTCCCATAACGCTTTTGTCGGCCGCCAACAACTAGACTTTCTGGCCAGGCTCGTGAGGTTAAAGGCCATCTCTATGAGCTTGAGAAGAAAACCAGTTTACTCAAACATATTCAACGATAATGGATTTCATTATTTGGAGTTTTAACATACCCATTTACTGTAATTATTTATTTGATTCATCTTAATATTATTGTTATACCTTTCTTATTAATAATTTTGTATAATTATACTATCATGTTTCTTATTTGTTTATTGTTTTGAAGTCGTTACCATATTATTCTGTGTAAATAAAAATTATTTTTCATGATAAATAAATGTTCCATAATTGTGGGGCGACAACGTAAAACGTACTATTGGTATTTTTGTCAAAATCCTGTTTTATATCGATCTTTAAGCGATAAGAAGTGCGACGAGCCGATTGGAGTTAAAAAATTAAGCTAAAACGCACAATTTCTTATTAAAAAACAATGTTAAAATTCTCTTTTGTTACAAAACGTATTTTTGGCAAAATATAAATGTTTGAAAACTAACTATTTACTCTTTGAATTAAAACATACTGTTTGTTATGGATTTCGATAAGGAAAAATATTAGTCAAAACTTACTATCATTACATCAATTTTTATTAACTTAATTGATTGCAAAACGTAGTTTTTCCAAAACAAATATCTTATATTTTAATTTACTGTTATATACTTTATTAAATTATATGGTTTAAGTATAAAGCGGTCTACAAAGCGATTAATCACACAAAAGCAAAAAATCAAGCCAATACAACAAGTATGTGTGTCAGAGTTTAATGTAAGACTAGTACGGATATTTCTCCCAAATGTACGCACTGAATAAGATAATTAGAAAATTAGTTAATCACAGCATAAATCACTATTTGGATTAATTTGGTTTTCTCGTTTACAAAAAGCAAGACGCACGCAAACAATAGTAATTCTCATGAATTCCGGTTGTTCCATTCAACAACTAAAATTGGCGTAATTCAAAGTAATATTTATTCGAATACCGTTTTAGTATTCTAGATATTATATTGTATAGTTCTAATTATGTGAATGTATAGTTCAATCATTAATAGTTAAATTAGAAAAAAAACCGTTAAATAAATAAAAAAATCGCCTTTTATTGTTTTCTATAATATACAAGAACTAAAATTATAAAACACATACTACTGGTATTTTTAGGAAGCACTTTTATGATAATAAAAGACGTGTAATACATTTTTTTCTGTTTTAAAACGAGAATGTATACTTGAAGTCTTCGATGCTAAATTTCTACACCATTCCATAAATAAAGCGGAAATATTACACAGTTAAAGAATAAAACATTGTTTATACACTGCACTATTTTTATTTTATTTAACATAAGGATACCACCAAGAAGTAATATTACTATACTTAATTTTAATTAACTAATTGTTAATTTTTATAAATAATAAAAGTACAAATAACATGTAGCATGAAAATTGTTATTTTAACAACAAATGAAACTTCAATTAGAAAATATAATTTGTATTGTCAAGTTGAAAAGCGTAATATAATTATCATTTGTCGTTGTTTGTTATTTACGAACCGAAAAACGAGTACTTAAATGGAAGTATAATTCCAACCTTTCATGAAAAAAAAAATTAAAATTCATGACTTTTACTTTTATTATTAAATTGTTTTTTAAGTCGGTCGGTCGGATAACTTCACGTAACGCTATAAACCAAACGAGTCTCTTTACCGCTTGTTTGTATTTGTTATTATTTTTTAAATAACTAAAGATTCAAATTTATGTACCAAGTAAAAATATTAAATACAGCTCATAAAATATAAAATAATACGTCCAAAAAAAATTGTAATTACGAATTTCCAAAAGTAAAAATGTAACTTTTTAAGCTCTTATTGAGGGTATTATCTATTTTAGAGTAAATTTAAAAATCAATGCTAATAGTAACGTAATGACTAAAACGTTGATTTTTAAATTATCAATTTATTTAAATAGGATTACTGTCTATGCTATAATTAGATATTTACGTTTTTAAAATTCTGATGTGATCTGGAAAGACAATTTTTTTTTTTTAATATAAAACAAAAGTTACTCAGCTGTATATTATGGTAAACTTGAAGTTTTTATAATAAAACAAGAAAAACACCTTTTTTATTTAATTTGCGAATTTGAATACT